TGATCTGTGATTGTTTTACAAATATTATAATATTTAATAATATCTTTATAAAGAAAAACAAGAAAATACCCAGGTATCTTGAAAACAAAGTAGGTACACTGTTTGGTTATTTTGTACGTCTTTTTGTAAATTTGCGACTAACACTAGTTACATTTTTACGATTCTGAACGTAGTGGGAAATATATTAGTTTTATTACGATTGTATGATGTGCACTTTTTTTGTATATGTCTGTAAACAATTTTTTTTCTTTTCTAACAGAAATCTTGCTCCAATCATCAACTTCAGAATTGGTTTTTAATACCATATTTTATTTATTTGATACATTTGGGAGGTCATATTTAATCGAAGAATTCTGAAATTTTCAGCGAATACTTATGTTAAAATTATATAGATGTAGTCAAAATTTCAAAAGATTCTGGAAGCTAATCGCTATTTATAACCATTTGTAATTTGCGAGTTTTCATAGTAAATAGAGAAAACCGGGGGAAAACGTAGGAAAAACGGAAAAATGTACGAAATGTATTATTTTCAAATCATTAATATTATGGCTTTTCAAAACAAGTATAACCGAACTTTGTTCATAATCGTTTTTCGTTAGCAATGATTAATTGTTGCGTACAGATATACATTACATTTTCCGTCTACCTTTTCAAATTTTCATCTACAATAGTGGCCCACTTATTGTGCGAAATATGTCTGATTTTTACTATTTTACTTAGTTTCGTTTTTTTATCAGGTATCTACACTATGGTAGTATCTGAAATTTCTTTTTGAAAATCATAAAAATATAATGGCAATAAGTAATGGTTGTTTTATTTTTTCAAAACGTGTATATTTTGATAAGCGTTATACAATAATAATTGTCGACGTTGAAAATGAATCATGGAAATTCTGATAAAATAAATATTAAACAATATTGTTTCATAATGTCAGTATTAATGTACATTATGTTTTAAATGTATAATGTATTATATACGATGATACAACAGATAGCTGAGAATCTGAAATTGCTGGGATACTAATAAAATAATATTATGACAGTTTTACTGTGGTGATTCGGGCGATGTGTTTGACATGCGTTTGATCAGACAGCCCCACCGCCTACAGTCTTAGTCAAACAACATAATAATATAGTTTACTGCGGTTTAATATTTGCATGTTACCGATATGCCTACAGGGTCTTTAAACTTTCGCTTGACACGAACTTCCACTAAATTATAAAACGACACCCATTATAAGATTACAAACATTGATGCGCGTACACTTATAAGTTATAATTTATATAGGTATCATAGTCGAGCGCAGGATTTTTTTGCAGGATGTGCCATAAAGAAACGGGCTGTTATTCCTTGGCCTTGTATCCTCCACCCTAAACAAAGAAGATGAATACAAAATATCGATTCATTAAAAATCATATTGATCATCTACATAATATACTTAATGCTTGATTCGGGGGGAAGTCCTGTATTTTTTTTAGCATGTCCCTTCTATTTTTTTGAACCGGAACGTTAGAAACGAAACATTTACAAGTGAACTTGTAAATCGTTAGTTTTTTTACATTTTATGAACCTTATTTAATACATAATTTATTAACAATTAACCAATTTGATGTTTTTAAAAAAATTATTAATAAATCATTTTTTTTTTTTTTTTTATAATATACTTGTAAAACAAATTTAATATAGTTCTGGTGTGATAGGTAACTGAAGGAGGGTGTGGGGACTTCATCCTCCACAATAATGTGAGTGTTAATTTTTTCTGAAACATTTGTTCATCCAACATTCATTCAGTCCCCCTTCTAGTTTTTTTTCAAATCAATAGCACTGACTATACTAGTATTATATTACCTACCTATATATCTAACAATATTTCACGAAAACATTATTATACAATTATTGTATTGTATTATTACAATAAATCCTGAATTCAAGGCAGTGATAAGTAATATCAAGTGGTTGCCGGTTGATTTGATTTATTGGTTACACTATGCAAATTTGTCATACCAAATTGGCTAGCATTTAATTAAATAAAACCCAGAATGAGTCAATTTCGTTTTCAATCCAATAATACGGAGTGTTCCATGACACATCCTGTGTACACGCCTATGGTAGGCATACAATAGGCGCACAGTTTTTAGTTAGCAGTTTGCTGCATTTTTCGCTACTTGGTTGCAATATCGCCTGCAAAACATTTTATTTACTTATTTACAGTATTTTACTAATGGATAACTAGTAATTAAAGACAGTAAAAGCCATTTTTAATACTGTTTATTGATTCTGCTGGCAACCCGACAGTCGAAAAGTGTATTTAGTTACCAAACAATATTGCAGTACCTAAACAATAATATTATCGTTAAAACAGTTTATTTGCTAACTTGCAGGCTGTACCAAAACTGCATTGCCTATAATATGATGCAATTGAGATCGATACGTGTATTGTGTTTAGAAATATACGTAATACCTTTATCATTTTTATTTTATATTTAAGTTCGTGCAAAATTATTGTAGTATACATTAACTTTAAATTTCATAATCATTCTACGTATCACGTGCGTTACAATGACGTACAATAATAATATTTGCAAAGAATATTTTCCGAATTATTGTAGAATTTTAAGTAATTTTCTTTTCTGTTCGTTTCTTATTGATTTATGGTATTATATTTAATAGCGCGTATTACATTTTGAGGTTATAAGTTTCAGTATTAGCTTCGTACCCACACCGCATATTACCCCGATATTTATATACGATTTTTTACGGGTACGCCATGTTACCAAACACGTCGTTAAACGCTAAAATATCATTCTGTCTATCCGTGGGTAGTCATAAAAAAATGGCCGTGGTGAATCCGAGGAGCAATCAGAGGCAGTCCCCAAAGAAAGAGGCGAAAGTATTTTGCACATTATACATTCAACTTAAAAATTTAAATTTGTACTATTCTCCATAGTTTTTAGGGAATACAAATTAATTGTATGCGGTATTTTAATTATGACTAACTATAAAGCGTAGGGAGTGGCACATAACTCTATATTAAGGTCGGCTATGGGTTGTGTATAGTTATTGAGACCTCTTGGAATGTAGTTCGTTGACTACATATTTAGGACTTCGGCGCCACTGAGTGTAGATATAACGCTTTATAGTTAATACCTGTACAGTTTAACCGCATAAAAGTTACATAACAAAAAATGCTATTAATGGGGACGGGTGCGGCCACTGTAATAATTAAGACTTATAATGAACCTCCGGTCATATTTTCAAGTATTTCTGTTTAATCTATTAATTTTATCCACAGAGTACCTACCAAATAAAAATTACCTAAAAAACTAGCAAAATTAAAATGTCTGTAAATAGTTCAAAAATGGCTAAAATGTTTTAAAAATTTTACCACGTCTAAAAATGACTAATATAACTTTTCTGACCAAATTTTAAGTCTTCACGAATATTTTTAATTGAATGTCAGTAAAACAATAAATTATTTAAAATAATAAAAGAATTATTTCCATAGATTTTCCTGTTCTTTCTACGTATTTTTGGTCTTGATTAACTAAAAAAAAAAATCAACGACTTTTCTAATCACCATTCTAATAGATTCATAGATAAAAAATTCAAAAAAAAGTTGTTTTTCGATTGGAGCAATATTTCTGGTAGAAAACATCGTGAATAAAAATGTAAAACAACGAAAATAGTAACACCGCGGCGTGCCGTAAATATTAGCCGTTTCACCAATAATTTTTTTCGGGTTTTTCTCAATTATTTGAAAATTTTTTGAAAAACAAATATAATTAAATTTCTAATGCACTAACTAAATAAAATTACTTTTCAGAAAAAGTACTATACTTTGTATTTTGTATTGCTGGTATAAAAGTTTTTTACAGAACAAAAAATAAAAATGCTCATCATAATAAAACCAATACAGTGAACGCCACATATAAAACTCACTTTGAGGTCTGCACAAAGTGACCGAATGAATCTTATAGGTGAAGTGGAGAAAGGATAGAATATATTTGGACCGGTATGTCCGGACCGTTCCAAGTGTTGATTTTAATAAGCGACTGAAATTTATATCAGTAAGTCTTATAAGCATCATCCACTGTACCTATATCCTTTGCTATGATTCAAATCTAAAATACTAAACCAAAATTTATTTGGTCCAATTTATCTAATGGTAAAACGTATTTATTAATAAAAAAAAAGTTAATCACTCGTTTATCATCCTTTTTTTTATCGACCGGAAAAAAAGTGAGTGTAAATATTTTGGTGGCACCGCCATGATAATGGTGGTTATCATGGCGGTTAAAGATGTAATAATATGGTATATAACACGGGAAGAATAAAATTATACTACTAATCGGAAAGACCATAGGGATATACAAATTTACATAGGCCAAAAGAGGATGGGAGGAGGGGTGATTCACCTATCGTCTTTTCCTCTATAACTGCCAGTGGGTACAACGCGTTACATACTTACACATCTTGGACTTTGGTCCACTATCCAAAATTACTTAAATTCCACAATAATATTAAGAACACTCTCTAATAATTTCCACGAGGATATTCTCTTCTTATATCATCACTATATAAGTTTGAGTACAGTTTATACCTTAGGCTAAATATCTCTCGATAAAAAAAATATGTAATTTAATCTACCATCAATATAATATTATGTTAAAGACACTGACTGATAAGTATGCCATTTGAATACATTTTTTTTAACCATGTGAACATTTTAAATGTATATTAATTTTTATAATATAGGTAAACAAAAAAAATAAATCGCAAATACGATTAAATAACACAGTTATGATAGTATTGTATTCTTTTATGTAATAGGTATAACGACAAGTATAATTATATGTAAAACAATGATCATAATATTAATAATAATAATAACAACAATAATAACAATAAAAAATGAATATATACAATGATTGCTTATATTAATGGTGCATACCCACGCGTAGGTACTAGTTAAAATAATGGTATAGCAAATTTTATCAGGGTTAGGGGTCGTACGGGCTGTTATTGTTGTTTTTCTTCATAATATTTGTGATGTTAAAATATGTCCCACCAGCCAACGTTAATACGGCCAACAGGAGCAGCGCGATGTTCTTCACGTGTCGCAAAAATTTCTTAATTCGACGAAAGCGGTTAACATTGCGTTTGACGCGCTCGGTCGTGATCACATGTATGCCGACCAAGTTTTCGTCATCAGTGGCACTGTTTGCGTTCTCATATTCCTTTTGATCCCAATACCACATTGTCTCCATAATAATCGGTATGATCAAACCCAATATGGAAAAACCAACCGAGCCAACTAGTGATACCAGAGGTCCGATGTCAGGTACTAACGTAGCAATTATTACTGGAACAATAAATTGAAATGTTTATATTTTCGCACGTCATAATGTTTGGCCGTTGTACAAAACCACAAAAAAAATACTAAAACGTAAGTGTTTACACACATTGTCACCGCAACGTAAAAGGTCGTATTTCTTTTCAGGTTGTATTTTTAAAGGCCGTTTTATTTAAGGTCGTTTAAAAAAAAAAATACCTCTACTCGTCCAATGAGATTTTATTTGGAAGTTGGGAAAAGTGAGATACGACCTTTCTTGTTGTGAAACTGTTGTAGATATATTCTAGTTTTACCTAGAATAACCACGCATGAATCGTATAGTAAATTAAAAAAACATTCTTAATATTTGATTTGTTAATATTTTGTTTGAACGTATCTGTATTCTACATTAATTTAAAACATTAAGTTTAGGAATTCTTAATTTTTAATTGAATATTTTTTTCTCGGGCACAATTTGTCTGAATTAGTATCTAACTGACATTATGTAATGCAAATTAAGGTATTTTCTCATGGAGTAGGAGATTATGGTGATATTTCTTAAAAAATGTGATACAAATTGTTGACGTATCACTCACACCGCGATATGTAACATTTTGACGTATCTTTGTGATTTACAAACCACCGGTAATAGGTATTTTCGTTACAAACATTTAAAGCAGGGCTGGATTGAAGAAGGGCAGAGAGCGCACCTGCCCTAGGGTATGAGATTTAAAAGACGCATATGTTTTGGAATTATTAGATTTTTATTAGATATTAGATAGATGTGACCTTTTTTTTCTTCTGTTTATTAGTTAAATTGCCAATGGGTGTATATGCTTCGAAATACGTAAAATGTCTTAATTTAAAAGGCACACAATTGTAAATTGATTGTTATGTATCCATTGTGAATTTCATGTTTATAAAAAAAAAAGTTTTGAATTTTAGGGCAGAAATATCGGATAATGAAAAATAATCACGAAGTTGTCCTTTTTTTCTCATTAGTACTCGTATTTCGATTACAGTATAATATACCCCCAGCGAAAAATGTCTTATACCGGCGCTGGTTTAAAGAAATATAACGAGAATTGCCTATACCCCATGAAAATATTTTACTTTGATCTATACATTTATATATAGTTCAACAGCTACCTCCTATTTGGGACGTAATTTGGGTGTACGTTCTGTCCGGCCCAAATTACCTTGGTAGGTATTTCTTTTCCATGGGTTGTCGGGTACCCACGGTTAAACTGTGCACTGGTCGTACGGTATATGCGAATGACGCATTTAATAATGTATTGCAAAATCTAGGTGTATACACAGAGTACATAGGGTTTTTCAAATTTCATGTTACAGCCAAATTTTCCCTGAAATACTTTTATTTTTTTTCAAAAAACAACTATCTACTTTTAAATTTTAAAATAGTAACTTGTATTAAAAATTCCATAAATATTAGTAGTAAGTGTTATTATTATTATAAGTATTCTTGTTGCTGATATTTTTAATTTCTAACCCGTTTATGATATATTATACTTTTCAGTTTGGGTAGGGGGATAGTAGTAGAGCAACATTAGTGTGGTGGCACGGTCCTCTATTAATCTTCCATTCTATTTAAATTGGAAAATTTATCAATCTCATCAATGAGTTGACAGAAACTAAAACTGTATTTGAATTAAAACTTAATCTATTTATGAAATTTGTATATAAAGTGCTATTTAAAAATTAAAAGTAGATACAATATTTTAACCTCAAAAATAAGGGCATTTTATAGTATATGATTCCAATTATTAAAAATTAAAAATTTCCGAGTATTTCATGAGAAATTTGACTGTAAAATGAAATTTGATAAACCCTGTATAATATACATTAGATACAGTAAAACTTCCATTCACGGTTACCTTTAAAAGACGGTCAATTCTATGTAACGGTCGTTTTTTTGGTCCCGTTAAATGTTACGCCTTTATAAAACGCCTCTAAAGGATGGTCACCTCTAAATAGCGGTCATTATTTCCGGTCCTTTCGGTGACCGTTATATAGAAGTTTTACTGTTTATTATACTATATAGGCTAGGCAAAACCCATTTCTTTCTGTCTGTTATATTTGAAAACAAAGGTTGGTCAAATCGTATAATAATATTGTTCAGGTTCGACCGGAAGTGGCCGATGCTAATATGATGGAGCCCCGTCTGCCCCCACAGATGCGGGAATATGTATGAACACTTTGTCTGGATTTTAAAACCGTTATATATCGGTATTGTATTATTATGATATGTGTATACTTACTGGACCCGCCTATAAGCAGTATTCGCATCCTAAAATAGTACGAACGTTGGCGAGCGATGTTTAGTCGGTTCCCAAAAGTTGTGTTGCTAAATCTTTTCCAAATTAGATCCGCAGTAACAGTTAACTGCAAACCATATGTGAGGAAGATCCCCGAAACGATCGTGCCTTTTAGTATCGATGTAATTCTATACAAGAACATCGTCAAGTGTAATGCAAAACGGTCGTTATGAATACATGTATTATTTATAGGATTCTAAAATTCCACGAAACTAATATTTCATTTTGATTAAAAATAAAAATAATGCAATGATTTATTTTTTAAATTAAAAACTCAAATATTAACTAAGGTAAACATAAACTTAAGGCGTGTGCTGCTTTCCAAGGGTACTGGAAAGTCTGAACCTTTTAAAAAATTATTAGAAAGAAGTTATACCTGCATGTTCTATTTCAGTCCAACTAACGGGCAATATGGCGAAATCTACATTACGCAGACTGTGTAAATCAAGCTTAGTTTTATTTTTAGAGTAAGAGCATATATTATAAAATTAGAAGTGGAAAATATTCCAGAGGGCAAAACGATGCGTTTCTTTTTTTAAATTTTTTTTTTAAAATATAAGAGTCATTTAAAAACAGTGATTTAATTTTTATTTCTAAACAATGTATTGAACGTTATGCCCGGAATAATAATTAGAATAATTAGTGTAATTATAAATACGTATTGTCTTGTCTTCCGGAATATTGCTCTATTTTAATATTACAATAGGTTTTATACTAAAACCGAAATCAATTTACGCTGTCTGCGTTAAGTAGATTTTTTCCGTATTGCCCACATATGGATAAAGTATCCTTTTAATAATAAATTGAAAATAAATACAATTAACAATAGTCTTAACAAATAGTTAAATTAAACATTGTGAAATTTTGCATTTGTAATCATTTATAATTATAATAATATTTCATAACTTTTTATAATAATTACAGCCTGAAATTATTTTCTATTAAAATCTAAAAAAGTTCTTAAAAACGTTAAGGAAACCACTGAAAAAAGCACTTAAATTTCATAGTCCTCTCTCTAAAGGCACTATCTGATAAAATAAATTTTCGTTAAAATAATATTATGAACATACGAGGTGTGGCTATTAAACAGCGAGACTGGTTATGAAAAAGTGTTTTATTATAAAAATTATTCTATATTCAAATGCTCCCCTTCAATATACTCCCCTCCCCTCGCCACACACCTTTCCATACGTTTTTTCTACTGATCAAAGCAGTGCTGGAAGTCTTCTTTGGTGAGGGTCTTTAGGAGCTCTGCCGTTTTTTGCTTTACCGCTTCCATCGACTCAAATCGGGTCCCTTTCAAAGCAGATTTTATCTTTGGAAACAAAAAAAAGTCGCACGGTGCCAAATCTGGCGAGTACGGCGCGTGTTCGAGCACTGGAGTGCGTTTACCGGCCAAATACTGCTTCACAGATAGCGCGTTATGGGCAGGTGCGTTTTCCTGGTGCAAAATCCACGAGTTGTTCTTCCACAACTCGGGCCGTTTCTTACGAAATCTTTCTCGCAGTGTTGCCAAAACTGATAAATAGTAAATCTGGTTGACAGTCTGACCCTCTGGAACCCATTCGGTCATCACGATACCGTTAATGTCAAAAAAAACGANAACATCGTATTGAAAAATCCATGTTTCGTCGCAAGTTATAATGTTTTTCATCAGTCCGGGATCTTCTTTTAACTTTTCAAGGAAATCTGAGCAGACCTGTTGATGCAAGAACTTTTGGTCAGGAGTCAGGTTTTTTGGCACCAACTTCGCACAGACTTTTGTCATATGTAATTCCTCATGTAAAATTTTTCTAACCATTTCTTTATCGGCGTTTACAGCCTCGGCAATCATACGGATGCTCATTCGGCGATCTGCACGCACAATTTGGTTGATTTTGGTCACTGTTTCCGGAGTTGAAACAGTGACAGGGCGACCTGGGCGCTGGTCATCTTCAGTGCTCTCTCGGCCTTCACTGAAGCATTTATACCACTCAAAAACACGTGCACGAGATAGAGAATTGCCTCCATAGGCCTTTTGTAACAATTTATAGCACTCGGTCGGAGTTTTTTTCAATTTAACGAGAAATTTGAGATTGATACGTTGCTCCTGTTTTTCGTCACACATGGTTTTCGACACGAGAAAAAAACACGTTCGTTTCAAACCACTACTGCACAAATGCTATAATAGTAACGAAAACGTATTTTGGTACGTGCATAGATAAGATATCTAGATATCCAACGCATTACTCGTTTTTTTCACTGCTCATCTAGGGCGCCCTCTAGGCGAGCAGTCTCGTATTTTAATAGCCACACCTCGTATAAACCCAGACTTTACTCATAATTCTGTAATTATTGGTAAAGTTACTAACAGTGGTTTATAAAGATAGATTATAAAATAAATAAAGATGAGAGATAATTGCTAGAATATTATTATATAGATGAAGATTAAAATTAGAAACTTGCCATATAGATAAAACAAAAAAAATGTTTACCACAATACATCATAAGACTATAAATGCATATATATATATGCATGTGTGTGTGTGTGTGTGTGTGTGTGAATAATGGTGATATATAAATGACTTACACGTATCCTAACGGTAAGTTCAACGAAATATTTCCTTTACATTTGGTGCCGTACTTAATATATCCAAATAGACCCATGAAGATGTTGGCCAAGATAGTCACTAGCATAGAAACATGCAGAGTGTAAGATGGAGGCCCAGCTAATTCAAGTGGGTTCTCCATCACATTCTCAATGTGCAACAGCTATATAAAAAATGTAATAAAACGAAAATAAATTTTCATTAGGTATGCAAAAATATATTAATATAATTTAATAATTGTATAGTAGTGTAAGGTGTAGATTGTACTACCAGCGCGGAAAAATTTAAACATAAACATAATAATAATATTATTGTGTTTGACGTCGTATCAATCATGCGCGTCGTCATTTTTAATATATTATCACTTTTATCACTTTTTATTATTCACTCGTAATCTTGATAGAAAGCGATTTGCAATCGATCAACGTTAAATGAAGAATTGTAACTCAAGAAACGTGTTGACATCATGATATTCAACTAATCGAATCATTAAAATAATATTTTATTTTTTCATAAAATTAAAGTCTGCGGTCTCGCATAATGGTGCGTTGAATCGTGTTTACTTTTAACAATCGTTATGACTATCGTGGTCATAAGATAATTTCTTCCCTAAAGTGAACATTTTAATGCCGGTCTTGATGATAATTATTAATTTCATTTTTCCACTTTGGTTTATTTTAAATTGTATGCTGCTCTAAGGCATACGCATGACTTGTTTGTAATCTAGCGATGAGTATGTCAATAATGAACCAAAATTTGTATATACCACCCACACCGACTAACTGAATTCGGATAAGTATCTACTCATGTAATTTTAGTAGGTACAAGTAGATAATACTATGAAATTTTGATAAACGTTGGCAAAAATGAAATAAATTATGAGTTATAGCGACAATTGAAACAAAAATATTATATTGGTTAATTTTTTGGAAAATTTAAATTATGTACATAATTAGCTAGTCTTAATGTGCTTAGAAAGAGTTCCCAGTTAATATTTTAGATGATTTTAATGATTACGGTAATAATCACAAATATTTTTCATTGGCGTGATGTGCAACATTTTTTCGCAAGGTGTGCCTAATAATTTTAATTGGGATAACCAAGTCGAGATAGCTGGAAGGAGATCAAAGGAACTAATTGCCTTCCCTATGATTTCAAGGAGCAGATTTTTTGGTAGGGTGTAATAATGAGTTAAATAATTGTGCAGAAGAATGTTCCAACCGAACTTTTCCAAAAGCGTTTTTGTGTCACGTGCCACGTGAGGTAAAGTGTTGTCATGCAAAAGACGACGACGCTCTCATCTTATTTACGAGTCACGAAGGTACTAAACATCCGATCCGGCTAGTTCAAATGTTCTTGGAATGAGAAGAAACTAACGATCACAGAAATGGTACTAACTTAGAAAAATAAAATTTCCCTTGGCCACTAAGAGCTTGGATATCTTACTTTTGGGACAAGCCTCGAAAAAGGTTACTCGTAGGATAAGCAATACTCGTAAAAGCTTTTCGAAAGTGTTTGTATAGGAAGTAAACGACGTATAGAAATATGCATATTGTTTGTGATTCTTATTTCTTTAGATCTTGTACGTGGTTCAAAAAACGGTTGTAATATTATTTAATTACTACAGCATGTATAAGTTGGTCTCGATAAAGAAAATCATATAATGCTTGTGAAGTGCCTGCAGCCGCAACACCGGTCGCCGGTGGCGTGTTCGGTATGAAAGCTGATTTGTTCGTATAAAGGAGAAGTGGCAGGGGGAAGGGTTAGACAATTTATATTTCCATAACGAATCTTTAAATATGACATAATATTTGCCGTCGGGATACATTTTTGAAAAATCATTAATAAATTTCGCTTGAAAATATAGGCCGATACATAATACCGAGACCTTATCGCTGAATACACGCCTTCCTTCTTTAAACAGATTTTCGATTAAAAATGTTTACGCCAAAAAATGATAGGATATATACGTACGTATTACAATAGTATTAGTATTTCCGATGTAATATGAAAAAATGTCTATAACATCATTTTCTCAAAATCCCAATAGCTCCAATTATAAGGCACGTGACGAATTTGTGTTTTAAAAAAAAATACCCGGATTTTTCATCTAAAACATTATTAATTAAACGTTGTTCTTGATATTTTGCAGAATTCGTTCCTACACAAACAGTTTTGTGAAATAATTTCTTTTCTGTTTTCATTTTATTCTTATTGGTTAAGAGACGACTGACGGGAAATCCAGGCCTATGGAAAATCCAAGAAGAGACGTCTTCCCCTTTGATTTTTCCAATGAACACCCATGGTTCTATTATTAATATGTATTATCATAACATTATTTACCATTCCGACGCCTTCCATAGAAAAAAGGGCACTGCCAGCGAACAGCGTCCATTCAGACCATGGCCAAACCACGTAAACGGGCTTTTCGCTGGGGCTCAGTATTTCTGATATGTCATCTATAAAGAACATGTAGCAGACAATTGATAATGCCCCGGCCATCAGGCATATGTTGGCTATGGATGAGAATGGAACCATATATTTCATCACTCGGACCATGCTAAACGGAACGATGAACAGCGCAGCTATGGGAGGGTACCAATGAATTGAAATGCTATCCAACGATTTTTCCAACCAGGTCCCAGCTACCTGGAGAACAAACTCGTCAGCAAACTGAAATCACAATAGAAAATAAAAAAAAAGAATGCACATATTAAAATGTATATAAATGTATACCTTATTATAATACATTGCAAGACAATCAAAATATTTAAAATATTGTAGCATTTTTTTAATAAACGGAATGTGGTCAATACGAAAAAATTGATGAAACCAATAAATATCTATATATTTTTAGCTTAACTTTGATATTGTTTAAACATGTTTTTCAAAACTAGGTATATAATAATATATACTTGGAAGTACTTATAGCTGGTTCGTTTGTATGTAATATCGTGATATCAGAAATTAAATATGAATTGAATCTATACTCGTTTTGTTTTATAAATTATAAAGTAATATTGTGCTTTGTACAAATCGAATTGCATATATATATATATATATATATATATATATATACACGATAAACTACAGATCTATAGACTGTTATACAATAAACGGAACAAAATATATAAATATTTATTTTGGTAAATATTCGACGTACGATATGCTGCAGCGACGTCGATTCGTGTACATTGCCCAAGCCTAAGTCTACTGTTTTAAATCGATATTTTTTCATTGTGCAATTTGGAAATTATTTTCCCCCTAATACCCGTCTATGGCGAATACATAAATAACGCCACTGGTGCAGTTATACCCCGAATATACACAACCTTATAATAAGGGTATATAATCAAACTACTTATATTAATAATAATATATTGTTGTGTTACCTGTTTTAATATCTCTGCCAATATACAGACATAAATTATATTGATACCATAGTAAGTAGCTACTAAAGCGATGCTGGTGAAATCTCTGTTGGCGAATGTCAGCGGATCGGAAACAATCACAACGATAACAAAACGTAAACGATTAGTATATTATGACTGCAGGGTGGGAATGAGTATATGACCAATTGATCATCTACGAAGTAGTAATATATTACTACGAATAACAGGCCGATAAGAATATTAAGTACAAATTAAATGTATTTATTGATTGATTGTATTGCATTGTATTGTATTTATTGCATTCATTTGTACTGTATTTTGTAATTTTACACGACGTCCTGTGCCAAAGACAATGTACAAAACTCAACAACAGCCCAAATGAGTTATTACTTTATGGTAACTGACACTATAAAATTATGGTTTAACGTGCCTAATGAATATATTATTTGGTCGAACTCGGTGAACGTGAATTTTAAGATTTATAATAGAATATTTAATCTGACGAGTTATACGATTATAATAAATAAATATAGAGACGATAAAATAAATTATAATATAATTAATTTTATAATAATAAATGGCTATAATTATGGTTACGCACTCTCCCTAGATCATAGTTTTGGTGTCATAATTAATAATAATATGCCTATTGCTGAAATATTTCTTAACTGTTTTTAATAATGTATTTAAGAAATTTGACTTGTAAATTTTCCTTTTATAATAATATCCATGCTATGTGATACTGTTGTTATATTGTACTCTGTGTCCTTTATGGCATTGATATTCAAATTAAATAAAATTTAATACAAAATGATATTTCAACGGGTGAGACCTTTTTCGATCAAAATCGTATCCTTCCCTTTTCGGTTAAACTAATAACAACGGTTACTAAGAATGTCATACACATTGAAAATTTATAAAATATTTAAAATGAAAGTTGAATACCTATAAAAAGTTGCTATCTATATATTTTTAATCTGACCAAAAAGGGAAGGATAAGATTTTGGTCAAAAACGATTATGTCTATTTCAATATCTATAATATAAAAAAAAAAACTTGTTAGTTTACCTATCTAGTTTACACTATGGCCACCCTTAATCTGGAATGTTAACTTTATAATTTACAAACACATAAATATTATAAAATAACGCAATCGGATCAGAATGTGTCAATTCTATTCCGATTGATATTTTATTGATATCAGCACCGCGATTTTTAGAGTATTCTTGTACAAATTCAAACGCTAGGGTATATTACCGCGAAAATCCGAAATTAAATTAAATTAAATTTAAATATTTAAACTTGTGCGTCGCAGTACACGTTTTATTCCTAAAATCGGTGTTTAATAACAGTTTTCGGTGTGCACCGGGATGTTAATCCAATACGTTTACGTAAATGAAGACGGTTTAAATAAATTCATATCTCGATTAACAAATTTGGATTTAGCAGACCTGCCGTGTAAATTTATGTGCGATGATTAATATTATAAAGTTTAATGTGTATAACGCGATGATATTGCTACAATATATTATGTCACTGTGATGGCTGTTTAAACTCGTTTCATTTAGCATATAATTGTGTGTGTACATGTACGAAACCGAACAAACAAATAATATTTGAAATAATTTCGACCCCAAGTGCTGTGTGTAGGTTGTTTGTATACTTTCACCCCTTGTTTGTGTTGACAGCTCATTATAAAGTTAGGCTAACGGTTCTCGGCCCTTCAATTATAATATCTATGTGCACAGTGGCGTAGCCAAATATTTAGAATGTATGGAAAGGGGTCCCGAGTCGCGAGAGATTTTAATTAAAAATAAATAATAATAATTAATTTTATCCCGCTATGGTGAAATTATTATTGTACACAGGACGTCAAAACACTATACAGTACTTGAGAGGTAGCGTGTGTTATACCGCGACGTGTTATTTTAACGCAATTTGTGAAAACAATGCAAATCGAAAGTTGGAAAGTTTTGAAATTATTTTTCATACGAATTGATGACGAAATAACAGGTCCTCGCCGTTATTATAAATCATTAAATATCAGATTGCATCTGAAAACGCGACGAAAAGCTTCTCTCGCTTTAAGGTTCGTCGCGCTTTGTGAAAAGGGGACACGATGACAGAAAAAAAAAAATAAAAACAATGGTCTCTAATTTTATTTTTCACGGCTGGCCGAATCTGATATACACGCTTTGTCATCGCAAACTGGAATCACCGACGGGTGAGGGATTAAGGGGTGCAAGAGAGCTAACGAGATTAGGTTTTTCGCTTTTATGAGTTGTCGGAAATAAACACTCATTCATTATTATATTGTTTGCCGTTTATTTTATTATATTTTCCTTTTTGTTGCAGAGTCAAAATACGTGGAACTGTAATTTGTATTTTCAATAAGACGTTGCAGTGTTATAGCTTATATAGCTTGTGTAGGTTGTCCGCCCCAGTCTCGAGGGAACGGTACAGGATTATAGAACAGTATAAAGGGGAGAGCTATATATATTTTATATATTATATCCACAGAAAGGAACGTTATTCGCAGACGGCGGAATACTGGGGGAAAAGGTCTATAATAAAAATGTAATAAAAACGCACTTAGCGAACGGCGCCCACCGGGCAAAGCGGCCTCCAGCACCGCGTCTGAATACCGCCGCTACAGTTTCTGGGTAATCCATCGGAGGTAGAATCAGCTTTCTATTGCCTTGCCTGTTGTCGATATCTGCGTCATCACCGTTTCCGTTATTTTTGCCGGACCGCATTGCCTGGGAAATCCGCACCTAAGCGTAATACGTAACACTCGATTAGAAATAAAAAAAAAATAAATAAAAAAAAATTCGGTCGTCCACGATTATGGCCAAAGGTTCCCATACTATGACCACCACATTTATCCCAAAATCCCAACAATAAATTATACAACGAAAATGTACAATGTCCAAGGATAGAAATGTATAGCGCTAAAAATCTAAAATTATTCAAATATGTAGAAATACAATTTTATATTTATAATCTCCGATGTATAAAACAAATATATAGATCACATTACTATTTTTATCTTTATCCTACAATAATTACATAGTAAATTTTACAAAATCTGTGCTTTGTCTACAAATACATTAAATATAGCGAATGTTGATTTTCAAAACTAAGTAAATCTGCAAAATGTTCGCAAAAAGTTCAGAAGTACCTACTTCTAGTAAAGTAGTAAAAAATTCTAAACAACTATAAAACACGCAAAGTAAAATTTTTAATTCCGTTTTTCAGTATTATGAAACCAATTTCAAACTTATTATGCCTAAATTACTATTAACTTTTTATTTGCAATTAGAAACCATTACTTTAAAACACAGAACCAAAAGGACGTATATAAAAAAAAAATTTGAAGCGAGGTTTTTTATATACATGTACGTACATTTTCCCAATTTTTCTACGTTTCTACCTAATTATCATAAAAACCGCTTATTGGAAAATCAAAAAAGTATTTCCTCACAGTACCACCAAATAAAATTTCCTATCAGAAAATAGTAAATGTTCCATAAATAGTAATCATGACTTATGAATAAATTAGAGAATATTCTTCTGTTTTGTTTTATCTGACTGTGAGAATATAAAAGCTGGATGCACAAAAACGAATTTTTATTTAAGAAATCGAGATTTTTTTTTTCTTTGAAACTTGGCTGTCAGCTGAATTATATTTTAATTTCAAGAAAAATTAAGTCCCTCAAATATTTTAGGGAATTCAGATGTAACTCGAAAAAGATCAAGGATGCGATTAATAGGTAACAACACATCGTTTTTTATTTAAGTTGACCATATATCGTGAAATACGTCTCGATAATATCTGACAAAAAAAAAATATTATGCCCGGTTCTTTTTATACAGACTATAAAGTTTTCCCGTCTCGAATTTATCTTGTAATGTGTACAAAATTATAAAGAAAAAACACAGTTTTTGTCGTTCATTATATTTTTTATCAACAGTAAAAATTATTACTAATTGAATAGTATAATATAAGTTATAATATATTTTAATGAGTCATCAAAACTTTTAACGAGATGGTTTTAATATAATATGAAAATATTTGTTCGTCTCTTCGTTCTTCCCCCGTTTTTTTAGTACAATATTTTGTCTCCTTCAATCTATACCTATGACGATTATGACGATACATGGTGATTCACCCTGAATAATATTTTTCAGTTTTTTTTTTTCCTAATAATTACTAGTTTTGCGTTATGATTCTAATATTTTTATATTATTTATAATAATTTCATTTAAGTAAAAATGAAAACAATTTTTTACATAATTCAAGATAGCTATTTTATAAATTTATTTTGAAAAAATTAAAAACAAAATGTTTACTAATGACAATTTTTGAATTGTCTGCCATTTTATTTTTGTTTACGATAATTTCGATTCTAGCTTCCAATTTTTCTATATTTTTCATGCTACTAAATAATAACATTAATTAATTTACATATTTTTCCGTAAAAAAGTACTCATAGTGATACGGTAATATTTTTGTTTTTACATAATATTATTATACATTTTAATTATTACAATGGCGGAGCAATGATCAAGAAAACTTAATTTTTGTCAATTTTAAAAAATTATTAGAAACTCCAGACTTAGTAATAAGATTTAGATTAGTCAACATATACAAATAAATCTATAAAATATTTACATGTATTGAATTTTGAAAAGAAAAAAAATTTTTTTATAAAATGAATGAATCATAACGTTAAGCGAGGGCCTTACGTTCTAATGTAATTATAAACGGGGGAAGAAAACCACCCCAAAATAATATTTGATAGAAGTAAAAGGTATTGTATTTTTCGACCCTCCGTGAATCACCCCGATTCACGGAGGGTCGAGAAATATACGGAGTATATATTTATTTCAAAATAACGGGGTGGTATAGATGGGGGAGCTACACAGAGAAAATTATATTTGCGCACGCGGCTTATCCGAGGGTGGTATACGTTTGAGGGTCGCGATTCGCGCGCAGCCTCTAGCGATTCGGCGAGTCCCCTCGTGCGTTCACTCTGTGTATACCGACAAAACATCACCCCTATATTATTGAAATATACTCATAATGTTAAAATTCCAGCATTACACCGCGTCTGTAATAACTGCTTGTATTATTTACAAAACGAAACAAACGACTATATTATTATAGTAACCGATTTGAATTTTCTGATTTTTGTTATTCCTAAAATTAACTTGCCTGTAATTTTATATACCTTGGGAAAATCGTTTCTGGAATTCCTGTAAAATATCTTTCCTGTAATTGTCTGTTCCTCTGTTTTTCTCGGGTTCTCCGTGCCCCCTGCTAAATCAAGTATGTGCTACGCACCAGTCTAAATAATATCCAAATGGATAGGTTAGGTTTGGGTAAGGGAAAACGTAACATGCTTTTCGATTTAAATTTAATCGAAGTTTAATAATTTGCCCGTTAACGACGTAGTATAATATAATGATCAATAACATTAATCAGTAAATGTTTAGCGATAAAACGTCAATTTTAGAACTGTTGTCCTGCAGAAACTTACACGAATTAGTTGAGGAAGAGGAGGGGGGAACCGATATTCGAAAAGCAAATAAAACATAGTATAATATGATAATATGTATTATGAATTAAACTCATTTGAATGATGCGTATTCCGAAAAGCCCAATAAAACTATTATTCTGCTGCAAGACCGCGTACACGAAATTATTATATTGCGCCGGGCCACGAATATTAATATTCTATGGAGATGTACGCGAAAAGGGACGCGGTATTGGTACCGAATAAAGGGCGGTGAGTCTGTACCTACGAGAAAAAAATCCGTTTCCATGGCGGCGCGTGGCTCGGTCGTCAGATCAGGGGCGCGCGCGCGCTTCCGGTTTCCGAAATCGATGGGAGAGCCCGCGGCACGGGAGCTGCTGCGCTATATACACACGAAATACGAACATGGCGACGTGCCCGGGGGAACAATAAATACGTATTATTGTTGTTCAACGTTGTACGTGTGCGTCGTACTTACGTACAATACCTACTGTATTCACTAAAACCGTATATAACAATAGTAATAATATTTGACAACGCGTGCACGCTCGCGTGCGTTGCCGTTGTTGACGGACCGTTCCACGAGGTAAAAGGAAGGGCTACAAAACAAACAATTAACAATCGGAAACGCCATTGGCGCGGAATAATAATAACCGGAATGGTTCCTATATATATGAATATAAATATATATATAGTCAACTCGAGTGGGGACTCGTGTCGGACTTTTAAACGGAAACAAACTCCGCGATTTGTCGTGCGAAAATACGTTGGGCGTATGGCTAACGAAGGATGAACGAAAACGATGTGAAAACGTCTACTTTACACGGAATAACGAACGTGACGTAGTGAAAACCGAAGATTATTATTTTCCCGAATGTCACGGTCTTATGGATTATTGTCCCGTGTTTTATGCGCAGTGGCGCCTAAATAGTTTAAAAATACTCTGGCAAAAAATATCAATTATTACACTGTATAGGTAACACATAATAATATTATATTATAATATTAAATTTTATATTACGTAATTCATGGTAATATTTTGTTTAGTTATATTTTATACAAATAATATTCATACTATGTATATTTCTCACCGCTGACACCATCCCACCTACCCACTACGAATAAATTTGATCAGATGGTTGCGTATAAATATGCGCATCCACGAGGTAAATGTATAATAATATTATATACTTACGATAGACGACATCATATTCAGCACTGCCATGCCGATTAACAATGTTCCCAGCGAGCCCACTATTAAACCAGCATGACGAAAGGCATAGGGCATTGCCAAAAAGCCACCACCGAAGGTAGCTTTCACCAAATGTACAACTGATTCACCTTTCCTACGAGGAAAAACAAAAAAACACACAATATTTAGACGTAAGTAGATAACAGTAGATATAAAATTAAAACCAGGGCATGGGTGAGACTAAATGAGGGGGAGGGAGGCTAGGGATTGCTAGGTACCTCCAATTGCCGTATTAGCATTCCTTGAGTTTTAATAATGATAAATAAATAAAATTACGAAACAATATTGAGTGAACTCATTTTAGATTCTGAGTAAAGCAAAAAAGCTTATAGTTTTACAAAGACGTTTATTTTTATTTTCTGTTAACATTTTTTCTACCATAAGACTTGCTCGGACTTAGTAGCATATTTTCTCAAAGGAAATCGGTAAGGGGAGATACTATTTTTCGATTTTCTCAGAAGTTTGTCCAAAAAATGTGAAAAACCGGGATACAACATGGAGAAATTTGGAAAAACGTAGGAAAACTGGGAAAATAGTTTTTTCATGGTGGATCAAAACAAAATGTTTTTTTTTTTCATGAACGTATCTTTTTATATTTTATTTGTACAAGTATAACAACACCAATGAATCTTATTTCAAAAAAAAATAAAATTTCAGGTTCAACGATTTTAAATAAATGACACAATTTATATGTACCTATTTAATTTTTTTTTCCTGCGGTTTAAATTATCGTAAATTATTAACAAAATATGGTATGGAGATAAATTGTCAGAATAATATTATATTGTAATAAGGAATAAATAAGGTCCTATAGTCAATGAGAATAAAATAAATATTGACAACGTAGTTAGCCGTGAAAAGCAAAAAGATTGCACTCAAACAAATTTTTCATAAGTAATTTCAGGTAGATGATTTCATAACATTTTTTATATGTATACGTTCCGTTGCTAATAATAATTTTGTCAAAATTGATTTTATCCTTATTAACTATAGGACCTTATTTATTCATTATTACACTTTGATGATTTGCATCTAAGCCAGTTTTCGTTCAGCGATAATTCTAAATCGTAAACATATAAAATACATACAAATCGCGTTATTCACCGTAAATGCGTTACTTAGATAAATAAGATTTGGTGATATCGTTACGCTTGTACAAATAAAATATACAGATACGCTCGCTAATGGATTTTGATCCACCCTAATATATTATATTATAATTACGAACTATTATACCTAGTCTTTATATTTTTGGGGAAAATTCGACAAAAAATAACACGTATAACACGTATAACACATATATAAAATAATAACACGAGCAAAATATCTCTACATTAATTATGTAATAAAATCTTTTTAATCCGGGAGGTTGTTTCCGAAAATCCACAATAGTTATAATTATAACAATACTAATATTGTATAATTATTGTATATTATAGCGGGTAGTACAATAATTAAATTTTGTACACTATAGATACTTATAGTTGAGTGCTTACTAGTCCTATTCAATATAAATTCAAATATACCATGCAAATACGTGACGATTGTTGCTTTTATAATATTTATAAGTAATACAACAATAAAGTAAAAACAAAATTATTAAATGGTTAATTACGAGTAATTAAATATATAAATAAATAAATAAACAAATAAATAAATAAAATTATTTATTCATATATTTATATGTACGTTTTTTCGGCTTCAAATATTGTTATTATTATTCGTATTTTAACGGAGGACCGAAGCTCCCTTGGCCCCCTCCCCCTTCTATCCTGCGAAGTACGTTACCGGAAGTTAAAAAAAAAAATACGTATATAATAATATATTTTATTTTTTTTTAACTCAAAAAATGTACACTATACTCACGTAATCTTGTGTCTCTCTTCAATGGCAAAAGCTGATTCACGGTCTGTGGCCCGGTTAGTGTTATTGAGTATCAAGAGCGGCTGAGACGCGGCCCTGTCCACGGCGTCGGCTGGTTTTGCGGATCTCGCATGCGTTCGTCTTGTTCGCTCTTCCATGGCTGCGAAGTAAATGCCGGTGCTTGCAGATTGTCGTCGCCGCGTAAACCCCGTAAAGCGTACACACGTACATGTGTGTGTGCTTGCGCCACAAAATAACTGCCGTTTCCGCCACCAAAATTCATCGGTCGCGTCGGTCGGAGGTTACGTCGAGGAGGGGGGGGGTCACGCGCGAGAATAATATCATAGTGTTCCGTATAGAGCGGCGTTTAGTTTCCATACGGAGTATAGTAATATGATTATAGTTTGTCTAAAATCTAAATAATCATTGACATTTTTTTATTCTATTTGTACTTCGAGTAGATTCCTCCCCCCCCCCCCCCCCATTTGTTGACAGTATCGTTTTTTTCATTTTTTTTTTCCGTCTAAACGTGAATAATATTATATACGTATATTATTATTATGTATGTATAGGTAGGTGTACCGTACCTATTATACAACGTACAATATAATATATAATAACAACAAAATAAATATTTGTTCTGTTCTGACTTTTTAATTTTTTTTTCCTTACATTAACGACGTGGTATTGTATTTACGAGTACAGTTTTTCTTTTTTTTGATGCTTTGATTTTCAATTATAGCCCTTTTCCCGAAAGAAAATCAAACTGGGGTGATACTTTAATGAGGTTATTGTTTTTATTTTCTAAACAATTTTCACAATAAATGGAGAAAACCGGGAAAAACGTAGGAAAATCGGGAAAATAGGTACAATATTAGACAAATATTATTAAAAAAAATATAATATAATGCATATTATGTATCTAATTATTTTACCATAATATGACGTATATATTGTTGACAACGCATCACTATCAAATGAACTACGCTCAGAATCGTATTTTCGTTAACAAAGATTAATCGTTGCTAACAGATGTACAATAAATTGCTTTCAGTGGCACCCGTCACCATTATCTTAGGACTTTTTTTTTTTTTTCATTATTGACACATTTGAAAATTACAATCTAAGTAATTAATGTTTAAATGTTACTGATATTGAATTTTTTTAAATTTATTTAAGTTTAGGCTGGAAGAAAGTAGTAGAGTATAATTTGTGTGGCGGCACGGCGGCGCGCAGCGTTTGAATAGTCATCTACTACTGTCCTCCTGTCTAAACTTAAAAGTGGACTTTCTCGTGAACTAGTTGACAGAAATCAAATATTTTTACACCAAAATTTATTTTATCTAATATTTTTAATCTTTTTACGGAATTTTTAACATAGATTCTCATTAGAAAAACTAGAGTATCCTGTGATATCGCTACAGGATACTCATTAAATGTTGTAAAAAATCTAAGTAAGTATTCAAAAATATCGGCTTTAACTACACTTATAAACTTCAAAAATTAGAATTTGAATGTATGCAAAATTGAACCAAAAAATAGGATGAACACGCTTTGTGAATCATTCTGTATAAATAACTTTTTACTTGATAAAATACGAAGAAATAAATATTTATTTTGGAGAAAAAAATTTTTTTTTCGAATTTTACAAATAACGATAACCTTTTAATAAATTATTTTGTATTTTGTTAGATTGGTATAATAACAAAATTATCAAATTTAGGTTTTAAAACTTATCAATAACGATAGATACCTGACTATATATAGTTTAGGCTATAACCATTATTATTATTATATATGTATATATATAGTTTCTTGGTAGAAAATTATTAGACTGTTAAGTTTAATTAAGGTTTAGATTTATTTTTAGACGACACGCAACGTATGGTTTTAGGGAAGTAAAACAGTTAACAGTAAATTTGAATACAGGGTTTAATTCGGTACTCGTATCATATTTACGACATACATATAAATGTAGATTCAATTAATCGATTACAAAAGGATGTAGGATGTGTAATTATAGGTATTGTTTTTTTTATTTATTTATTTTTTCGAAAACTCTCAATATTTTTGTACATAACTTTCGAAAAATTAACATTTGCTTGAAACTATCATTTTCAATACATATCTTCATAGGTTATTATACAAGTATAATATATACTCGTATAATAGCTGTGTGTCATATTTATAAGAAATAGATGTAAAATAAATTGTATAATTTATTTAATTTTCAATTATTATTGTTTCATCAAGAATTTATTACTCTGAGTACCTATAGATAAAATGTAAAAAGTGTTTTCTATTTGTATTTAGGTTTTTGTGAATATTATGACTTAGCTCCCTATCCTGTCAATGGGTCGTAGAGCTGTTCCCGGTTTACTGGTTGTAGGAAAGTTTAAAGTAAGATATGTTTTCTATCCGAAAACAACTTCATAATATATAGACAATATTGTTAAAAATGGGTCATACGTTCATTGCTATATCATTGTTATATTTTGCATCTAAAATTTACTTCTAAATGATTTTTATATTTTTTTTAGGACAATATCTTGAGTAAACACTAGTCTTTAAACCTTTATTATGATTTATAATATTTTTACAAAACATGGATAGTGTTTCATTTCTTGTAATGAAACTAGAGAAGATCATCGGTCAATTTTTATTTTAATCCATCTCTGTTAGTACATTACTAGAGTTACTATAAACTACTTCAAAAAGTATAGAAATATCAGATTAAGAAAAAACAATGAAAAAAAATATGTATATTTCCAGTATCAAATATCTTATACTTATAAACTATCTGTGTCAGGCATATCTGATTCTAGGAAAATCTGGCTTCAGCCAAATCTGACTACATGGCAATCTAATTAATTATTATTTATATGTATGTTTTAAATTATTAGTATCCAATTTATTTTATATTTCCTTACCAATTGATTTTACCTTGATTTTTTATTATTTATTAGAATACTGAATATTTTTTATCCATACCATACAGATATGTTATATTGTATTACTCAGTTGTACTCAGTTATAAGTACATTATAGGTACTCGTATAGTTATATTATTAAAATCTAAAATTTTTTTAAAGTTTTTCATTTTTTGATCTGACATTTGATGTTATAATTTTTACGGGCAAAAATAATTATAGTATTTAAATACAATTTGATTATATACCTTGTTAGTTTATATTTATGATCAGTACAGCTAATTTAGACTCAATGCGTTGAAAAAATAATCAATAATTATACATCTTTTTTAATCAATAATTTTACATTAAAAAAGACGTCCTAGGATAATAGGGACGAGTGTAGCCACTGTTTTAGGCAATTTAATGTATATCTGTAAACAACGATAAACCATTTCTAACAAAAAAACGATTCTGAGCGGAATTCAGTTGATAGTGAAGCTTTGTCAACAATATATGTCATATTATTATAGCAGTGTTGGGAAAGTTCCTTTTAAAAAGGAATACGTTTTTAATTCTTCGTTCCTATTGCTATAAAAGAACTAGTTCCCAATCCTCGTTCCTTTAAGCTTTTTTTTATTTTATGAATACGCATATGACATATTCATAAAAAAAAGATACCGGGGACGGATGCAGCTACTGTTGTAGCCACCTACAAGTTTTAGGTGGGAAGTTGGAAAGGTAAGATAACTAAAATTGGAAACTATTCTTATTTCTTAGAATCTACAAGTTTAAAATACTAAAAAATTAAATAAAATTAATTTTCTAGTTCTTTTCCAAAAAATGAAAAATGAAAAAAAATGTATCATCAAATTACTCAACATTTTATTGACAATACAAAAAAAAAAAATTATTTCACTGACAATCAATGTTATCAATTATTAATTATACCTTCCCGGTCAGATTTTCATTCAGAAAAAGTGCTATCATTTTAAATTGGAGCAAAATTTCCAGTAGAAAAGTTGTACACAAAAAGGTACACAAGGTTCTTCTTTGTACGTACATAGCATGAATCACAAAGTGAATCCCGAAAACTTCAATATATAATTTTACTCACCGGACGGCCAAGGGAATGTTACTTCTTGTGAACCACGACCTGACCTAACACTAAGTTACCTATTCTAGAATTCGATGCCTTAGTTAAATGACCACAATATACGAATACAGGTTTAGCTAAGGCGGATCGCTTTATATTTCTAAATACATCTTAATCTATTGACCACAATAAACGAGTATAACATTGAGAGAAGGTCCAATAATGTCATGTTACCTTCAAAATAACCACAAATTCCTCGGTACATTTACTGATATATACTCCAGAATAAAAGTAAATAACGTTATAACGTTAAAGAAAAACACTTGCTTTAGAGCACAATACTTGTAAAGTATAATTAGATAATATCCCTAATGAAAAAATACAATAAAAGACTTCCTTTAGAATGATATGTCTTTTCGACAATCAAACGTTCGTTTTTCCCATAATGCCAATGAAAAAGAGACGACCTGAGTTTATTGTTTCCGTTGTTTTAAGTAGTCTCAAAAAAACGTATTCTTGCTCCATATAAAAATGGTTTTACTGTTACATTAATGAATATAAAATTAAAACTATAATATGTATAGTTAAACCACACGTATTATGTCTATATATATAGACATAATACATAAATAATATTTTATACACAACATAATTTTTGCTGAGTAGACGTACCTATAATGTTATATTTTAACGGAATATTACTGGTGATGGCGACGAACACATAGTACAATATTGTATAGTATTATAACGTGGAATGAATATAATTTTAGATCCGCGTGGTATATTTGTGCTGATAGGGCATAATTTTTGGCTTTTGTCTTGGCTTATATGCTTCATTGAGATTTTTTTTCTAACTTACGTTTCTATATCTATTCTAATATTGTAGTATGAGAATTATTCAATTATTCTAGTGTATAAGCAATGAAATTGATAGATACCACCTCGAAATGGTATAAAACCTATTGACAGTAATAAAAAATCAATTACTGAATTTAATCAACCGAAAACTCCAATGGAGAGGTACTTTTTCCTTGTAGAAAAATTGTTATTATTATAAATTGGAGTAAATTGCTGGTAAAAAAGTTGTTTTTATATAGTATATAATAGTAATAATAATTTATAATTAATATATATTAAGTATAATTGATCCATATTTATGGATTTATGAAATGTATGAATTTATGAAATGAAAAAATTAAATTAATAACATTTTACGATATTTATGTTTTCACGCTAAAGTGGATATGAACAAAATCAAAGGTCTCTGGAGCATTTGTTTTAAGGGTCCTTATAGATGTTAAATTCAAAGACTGTGAAAATGAATGAAATATTGGATGGAAATCAGTCCAACAATGGTTTTCGTAGAAAAAGACATTTATATGCGTGCAATTATATATATTAAGGTATAGGTATACAAAAGTGATTTGCAGCGATAATTATACATGTTTTTAATAATTTATACTTAAATAATATAGATTTACACACTTAGATAATTATTAATAATAAATCATAATATTTCATAATTTACAACAATTTGCAATAGTCAACTAAAATCAAAAAAATACTATGTATATTTAATCTCTACAAAAAATACAGTCACTAGTTAGAGCTAGAGGGGTCCTCAGACACAAATATGACTGAGGGCCCCCGGCCATGGTCAGACTTACACTAAACCAAACACATATACTCTTTTTTAAAAGAGAATAATTAGTCAGTCGATTTTTTTCAATGCTGTGCATCTCCCACCAACTTTAATAATTATTAATTAGTCATATATGTTATGTTTGGAAAATGTCAGCTAGTAAGGTGAGTGAAATTTGGCAGGGCACTGTTATAACAGTCAGTTTCTATGTACAAAAAGTGATTATTCTCTTTTGAAACAGAATATGTATAGTAGATAATATATAAAAAAATATTTTAAATTATGTTATCAATTGATATTTTTTAATTTTAAAAAATAATTTTTTTAAATAAAATTTTTATATAAATTAAAATATTATACTTCTAAAATATTTTATACATTCATTTTCAAAAAAAGCAATTTTTCAAGCATTATATTAGATGGTATTTTCATTAGCTACCTATGTTTTGAAATACTACAGAATGATCAGACTGGAAATGGGAATTATAATAATATTATTATTTTATTAACATTACTCTTAAAACTAATTTGATTTCCTAGGTGTATTATGACAACTAAAGTTAAAATAGTTATTCAAATTATTTTTAACTACTAAAAGTTGAACATAATAATACAATCATCCAAAAATTTATGGAAATTTCCAACAGACTTAATTCATTAAACAAGATGATGACATCAAAAATACATTATATTGTATTTTATCACCTTTAGAACAATTATATTGTTTATTTGTATCTGAATATGATAAAGAGTGGATAATCTCAGATTTAAAAACTTTTAAATTTGTAGCTATTAATAAAAAAAAAAAAAAGAAATTGTTGGAAATTCAATATCTGTCTTGAAACTAATATTGCTTATCAACAATTAAGGTGAATAGGAGAATCAGTTTTGTACATAGGTACTGATTGCCACTGCTATGGTTGAATGATCTCTCAGAGAAATGAATAAAGTTATGTCAAAACTTTGAAATCATATGGAACAAAATACATTGGAATATTGCATGAAAACAAATATTGAAGACCAAGAAGATTCACATCAGTTCATCCAAGAGGCAAATGTTTTGTCATATAATATTCATTTGTAAAAAAAAAATATAAAAATAATGTTTCTAATTTGTATAAGAAGGAATATTTTTTAAATAAAATGTTCATATGTTTTATGTATTAAATGTCAAATGTATTAAATTAATTGTATTAAATAATAATAATATAATTTATAATACTAAAATTTTTCTCCTAATAAGAAAATCTCCTAATCAATGAAAAAAATAACTTTATTTTACTATTTTTTTTAAAATTTTCATGATAGCTATTTTATAAAATACATTATACTAAAAATTGTAATGTATCACACAATCATATCCCATTAATAGTTTCTTAGCTATAGTAGCTTTAATGTATAGAAAATAGTCGTGAAACAATTAATATTCAATAGAAGATAAAGAATTACCATGCTAAATAAAATTCCGTTTCACTGAATGTGTTATTCTATTGAAAATTAATTGTTTTCATGATAATTTTCTAGAAATTAAACAACTATTACTAAGAAACTATTGATCAGATATGAATGTATGTAATATTAACATTTATATGCTGGGTTGCACCAAATATTTACATAGAAATAAGCTCATTTATCTAAAGTTAATAAATAAAGTTATTTTTTTTTTTTAACAATTAAGGGATGAAAATAAAAATTAAATTTTTCTTTACATACGTCCTTCATATAACCACAAAATCCAATGAAAAATAAAAGAATATTGACAGAATTATTAGCATAAGGATAACACTGTAGGACATCTGTAGAATCAAAAAATTTCTTATCCCTAAAATATTGTTCTTTATGCAATATAATTTGTTTACATTGAATTCTATGATTTTTGAATCATAGAGATATGTTAGTTATAGCTATTTTTGTTTTTAATTTTAAAAACATACAAATAATATACAATTACAAACATTAGTAATTACTATAATACATATAGTTAGATAAATACAGTGTCTTGTTAAAGATATCTCGTTAGGTTTTTTCATTATGACATTTTTTTGTATGATTAGTTAAAGACCAATTAAAAGCATATGTCTGCATACAGATATCACATTTATATGGTTTTTCTCCTGTATGTGTTCTGTTGTGTGACAATAAATATTTTTTAAATGCAAATGACTTTGGACACACACTACATTGGTATGGCTTTTGCCCACTATGTATAATTTTATGAGCTTTTAAATCTTGTTTGTATTTATATGACCTATCACAAATATCACATTCAAAAAAGTTCTCATTATGGAATTTTTTATGATTTAATAATTTCATTTTTGTATTAAATGACTTTTGACATATAGAACATTGATAAATCATTTCTATATCATGAGCTGTTTCAAAATGAGTTAGTAAAGCTCCTTTCCATAAAAACTTTTCAGGACATAAATGACATTGATAAGGCATTATTCTTGTATGAACATCTTGATGCTTCAGTGATGCAGATAAATAAGCAAATGTCATTTTACATATTTTACATTCAAAGGGCTTTTTTACTTTATGAATCTTTATTAAATGAGATGTTAAACCGGTGGTCCAAGTAAATGCCATCTTACACAAATCACATTTATATGGCTTTTCCCCTGTATGAATTCTTTTATGGTGTTTTAAATAAGCTCTCTTACAAAATTTTAAATAGCAAATGTTACATTGAAGTAAAATCTCACGTTTATGAATTTTCCTGTGTTTTTTTAAACGAGATAACCTATAGAAATATTTGCCACATACTGTACATAGGTATGATTTATAATGAGTTCTCATATGAATAATCAAATTCTTTTTTGAAAAATAGAAGTCGTCACAGATGGCACATATATAACATTTTCCTTCAGTTTGTGATTCTTGATGTACCACAAATTTATAGTCCATAGTATTCAATACTGGTTCTATAGGCATTTGAGCATCATAAACAAAATCATTAATGGGATAATTATTTATAGGAGCATTTGTTTCTACAAAACCATTAATAGGATAATTATTTATAGGAGCATTTGTTTCTACAAAACCATTAATAGGATAATTAATTATAGGGGCATTTGTTTCTACAAATCCATTAATGGCATAATTATTTATGGGGGCATTTGTTTCTACAAATCCATTAATGGGATAATTATTTATAGGGGCATTTGTTTCTACGAATCCACTAATGGGATAATTATTTATGGGGGCATTTGTTTCTACAAATCCACTAATGGGATAATTATTTATGATTTCATTTACCTCTTCAAATACATTGGGATTGTTTATATATCTGGAAAAAAAAAAATTATAATATTTAATTAGTAGGAGTTGAAAGTAATCCAGACCGTGTTAAGTTAAATTCACTAACAAATATAATAATAAAGTAAATACTATAAAATATAAATAATAAATTAATGCAATGCACACTTAAATTGTCAGTAGGTCTTGAAGCTCAACTAAAGAATCACCTGTATACTCACACTAACATTATAATATTATATAATTCCACACCTGTGTTTGGATATATACTGACAGCATTTGTTGTACTTTTGTGTAAATGTATAACTAAATGTATATAACTAAATATCTATATTAAAGTGTAAACATAATAGTTAAAACTATAGTCTGGATTTATATACTCCTAAAATAGTGGTGACCCACTTTTTTTACAGAGGCCAATGAAAAAAAAAAAATAACTCTATGGGCCAAGAATTTAATCTTTTACTTATAAGTAATTTGTTGTAAGTACATCTTAATACAGCTACAGTAATATATTTAATTATTTATTATGTATTGATTGTTATCAATGAGAAAAAACTGTATATTATAAACATATCTTTTTTTTAATGGGTGATAATTTTTGAAATTTGAAGTTATTTTTTTTTTCAATTTTGATTTCATACTTTGGGAGGGGGTAGATTAATAAATGATTATTGGCCCGATTTATACTGCAGGCAGTAGTTAGTTATCACTGACCTAAAATATAATGCTAATGTATACTAAAAAATACTAAAAACATTCTCCTATATTCTCTTAAAAACTAGAAAAACATTGAAAAATAATCAATGTACATCAAAAAAATAGTGAAACCTCGATAGGTCGAAATTCGAGAGAAATACAATTTTTTTGACTTACTAAGATTTTTTTTAAAAGGAAATCAATGAGGGGGGAGTAAGATAAACACTTAAACCCCCCTGGCTACGCCACTGATAATAACATACAAGATCTTCTAAGACAGTGGGTTAAATTGTGGGGCACATTGATGTTATCACAACTATTACATAGAAACTATTCATCAAATATAAATGTATAATATATTCAAATTTTCAGAAAAACAAACTTTACAGAATGGTTATTTTAAAATTTTCCAAAAGTAATAAAATAAATTTGTTTTTAAATATTTTTACTAAAAACAAATGAATTCAAATATACATATTTGTAGTCCTCATATCTATAAGTAATATAAAACAAAATCAGAATTTAGTTATCTTTATTATCTCTGGAGATATTCAAGGGGTATATGTTCATGGGACAGCCTATATGTAAATGTAATCTGCATAATATCGATCAATTTTACTCTAACAATGCTATATTTTTTTTAATCTCTAACTCCCAAAAATTAATCACAGATTATAATAATCAAATAAGTATAACCCTTTTGTAAATATTAATATTGCATTAAAATATATTCTTAAATTAATTGTTTTTGTTTTGCTATTAAGTTATGTTAAGATTCATTATTATGCATTTATTAAATTTTATTAAATTGTATAATACATACATAAATGGTGATTGGAATTGAATTATATATTTATAAAAATTATATTTAAAATGGGAAAAGTTGGAAAGATGAAGAAAACATTGAATGTATATTTGAATGCAAAGATTATATCATAAAAAAAATTCTGAGTGAAGTTCAGTTATATATGTTTTGAAAGACTGTAATATTTATAATTTGAAAATAATACATTTTGTAAATTTTCCAGTTTTTCCTATATTTTTTTCTTTTTAGTATAGAAAACTTTTAAAAAAAATCAAAAATTGATCTTTCTAAAGCATCATCCTAGTCAAATATCCTTTCAGAACAAAATGCTGCACTTGAAAATGAGAGCAGAATTGTTGATACAAAAGTTGTTCACAAAAAAAAAAAAAATAATAAACCAGACCAATACATCTCTTGCTCCACACAGAAACTAAAGTATTAAAGTAATGATAAAGCATTAACCATTATTCTAAAATTGTATTGAATAAAACAAATATTTTTCTTCTGTTTACCTGTTATATGTGATGTTCTGGGAAGTATCACTGTGAGCTTTTTGGTTATGTTTCATTTGTAATGAACTTGGAGTTCCCTGTTCAACAATTGAATTATTATTAGAATGTAGGTAAGTACTTGTTATTACTTTTGGTAATAGGTTATACTCAAATATAGGTACCTATATAACATTATTATTAAAATATATTTTATGATAATCTAGAATATTTTTTAAATATTATAAATTTTTTTTATATTAGTTAAACTGTAATTTGTATTATATAGAATGTGAAAGAGATGGCCCAAGTAAATATATATCCTGCACAAATCATATTTATATGGCTTTTCTCTTGCATAAATTCTTTTTTTTTTCTTTTAAATACTATTTATCATAAAATATTTAATAACAAAAGTTACATTGAAGTAATATTGCACTTTTATAAACTTTCCTGCAATTTCTTAAAGGAAATAAACTAGAATAAGATTTACCACATACTTTACATGGATATGATTTCTTTACCTTATGAGTTTTCATATGAAGTATCAAATTCTTTTTTGAGTAATAAAATTCTTCACAATGGGCGCATATGTATCCTTTTCCTTCAGTTTGTGATTCTTGATGTGCCATACATTTATGTACCATAGTATTCAATACTGGTTCCATAGGCATTTGAGCATCATAAACAAAACCATTAATGGCATAATTATTTATAGGAGCATTTGTTTCTACATATCCATTAATGGGATAATTATTTATGGGGGCATTTGTTTCTACAAATCCATTAATGGGATAATTATTTATGGGGGCATTTGTTTCTACAAATCCATTAATGGGGGCATTTGTTTCTACAAATCCATTAATGGGGGCATTTGTTTCTACAAATCCATTAATGGGATAATTATTTATGGGAGGGTTTGTTTCTATAAATCCATTAACGGGATAATTATTTATGGGCATATTTGTATCTACAAATTCATTAATTGGATAATTATTTATGATGGTATTTGTTTCTTCTAATCCATTAGGATTGTTTGTACATCTGGAAAAAAAAATTATATTTGATTGTAAAAGATTAAAGTAATCTAGACAGTGTAAAGTTAAATTCATAAACGAATATAATAATACAGTCAACAATATTAATTATAAATAATAAGTAATACGATGCACTTTTATATTGGCAATGGGTTATGGATATTAACTAAAGAATTGTCTATACACTCATACTAACATAATATTATATAGTGTCACACCCATGATTGCTATTGTACTGTAAACATTTTTTTTATACTTCTTTGTAAATGTACAACTAAATATCTACACTAAAGTGCCAACATTTATAGTCATAAGTTCTGTAGGGTGATAACTAATTACAATTTAATATTTCAAGAATTATATTAAATACTATTAATATTAAAAACATACAAAGTTTATAAGATACAATAAAATATAAACTAAATATAGAATAAAATACTATTTGAGTATTTATCAGTAATATAACAAAAATCAAATCTTGTAGAGGATGACATTTTAGTTGTGAAAAAAGTAATATAATTATACCATTCTATTTATAATATATAGACATACATCAGATAAGTGCCATAAAATATACAAAAGTGCCACTATACACAGTAAATCACTGGTATAGGTGGGAATTTCATATTTCATAAACAAAGTACTAAATATGTTTAAGTAGTGTTATCAAATTAATTGTTATTCTAAAACTGTATTAAATAAATGTTTTTGTTTTATTTACCCATATAATATGGTGTTCGGTTGAGTATCAATATAAGCACTTTGATCAAGTATCACTGGTGTCAATGGAATTAAAGTTCCTTGTTCAACAAGTTGGATTGGCATATTTTGTGACGGAATTGTATACATCTTTAATATTTTTGTTTTCAGCTGTGAATTTGCTATGAATACAATAAATTATTTAATATTATTTTTAAGTTAATATCAATTTTATAAATTGACTTACATCAGTTATTAATTACATAAAATATCTACCTAGTTTAAATATGTATTTTTATCACTATTATTTGTTCTAGAATGTGGATGGAAATCAAATTTTGTAAAATGTTTGCTGCACACAAGTGGAGACTAGTAGCAATATTTGTAATATTCATTTTATATGTGCACTTCCATTTTTTTTTCTCTGAATGAAATTCTTAAGAAAATTGTCATCCTTTTGGTGATAACTAATATACAAATTATATATTTTAAATTAGAGAAATATTGTAAAATTAATTTTAATCACAATAGGTAACTAAAAAATTAATTCTAATTTCAATTGTACCTACCATACACTGACGTTCATTATTGAGTATAACAATGACTATGAATTATTATTTTGGTTTTTAATCCTGTATTTTGAGTCCTTGTACTATGGTTCCATTCCGATATTTCAATTTTATTTACAAATTACATTTTCGTGTTTTATGATTTAAGATAAAAATTTAATCACGCTGAAAAGTATTTTTGTGAAAGCTGGCTCAACACTTATTCATTATATTCACTTTTAGTGTGCCAGCTTGGCTTTATTATTACTATGTGGGTGTCTGGCGTTTGCTGTTTTTGAAGTAGCGCAATAGACGAACCTACCAAATATTATATTTCATACATTATTGATTATAACCTGCAGTCAAACATTAGCCAGTGATGCAGCAAAAATTGACGTTAGGTGTACCACTCCATACCATTATTATTGTACTAAACAATATCAGTAAATAACCTTATTGCATGTTATCAAGTTTTTTGATATTTATAATATAATTTGTATGTTTTCAACAAGTTGGAATTAATTAATAAATTATTAATCCACCTTGGTTTTCAAACTTTATAGATTTGTTTACTTTGAATCGCGACTATCTAAGACCGTGGTTATAGATAACCGTATCTATAACCACGTTTTGAATGCATATACATTTTTAATGTTATCTACATTTAAATACTTTTATAACTTCAAACTATGATTGAAATGTACAAGGTTATTTCAAAAATCATTTTTGATATTTCAATCATGCTTCAAACATGTGGATTAGTTCTGATAACTGAAAAACCACATAAACTATAATATATTTGTATTATTAAAAATAATTTGGAATATCGTTAATAATTACTAAAAAAGTTATTAACTTAACAGTTATAACTTAAAAAGTAGATACGTGTGCCTCTTATTTTCAATGCTCCCAAACGTTGAATCCTTGAAAATTGTAAAAACGACTACTAGTTTGTTATATTAGGACTTTATCTAGATAAACTTTAGAGTAATAGATTAAATCCTTAGATCATATACAATGATATGATTTAAGGTTATACCACGGTCTTTGAAGATAAGGTCAGATAACTTTAGCTTATCCGTGTTCCTAAGCGTGTTCCGCTTAATAAATTGTGCAAATATGTTTAAAATATTACAGCTGTAAAATTGTGCGTTGCCAGTTATACGTTTTTAGGGATAGGTTAAATAACGTTTCTTGCTTTATTACGGGTCGTTACGTCTTATTATTCGTCGACGAGTATACGCCACCGCTGACGTCAGGTAACATATAAGCCTATCAATATACCATACATTGCAAGAGACCCAATGAAAATCGAGAGCTCTCATTGGCTGTATTACGTTTGTAATCACACTGATAACATTATAAAATTATCAATATTTTTAAATTATGTTTTTTTGTTAAACTTTATTGTTTTAATCTATTTCAAATAAAATATGATTTATCCAGCATCATTTAAATAAGAAATTGTCAAAGGTGACAATGTTAATATTATTTTAAAATATGATGCAAAATCTATGGAAAACATCAAAATAATATCTAATAAATAATATATTATTTATTTCATAGGTATCTTAATTCTTAGCCTTAACTTAATTAATAATATTAATTTAAACATTTTCACAAAAGAACATATAATATGGACATTCAGCATTTTTGTTTAAGCCATTTTGGTTTGCTGATACACTAGGCTTCTAAAATCCATGAGTTAACAAACAAATTTTTTTTTATTATTTATTAACCATTATCAAACCTAAAGGTAAGAATTAAGAACATATTTATGCATTAGTTTTTTATCGATATTTTTAATTTTAATTTTTAAGCGTGATAGGATGATACCCTTGAAAATTAATACCAATGTACAAAATATAGATAATGCTCATGTATTTAGATTTGATAATAGACAAATACACCCTTATCTTAAAACTAACAGCACAAAATTAACGAAATGTATAAATAAAACGTCTTTTCATGAATTGGCTATTTGGGCGATGAGGTGTAACATATTATGTAAGTAAATAAATTTCTTATTTTAAGACTAGTACCTTATTTTGGCTTTTTCAGTATATTTTAAATCTAACTTTCTTTTTCAGATCCATATTATTATCTTATTAATATCGGTTAAGATAGTGTCTTGACATCGTATAATTCAGTTGCCTATTGCATACAAATTAAAGAATGGGCAACCAAGAGGTATACGATAGTATAGTTTACACTAGATAGCTCTTATGTGTCTAATAACCATCGATCTATATGATAATATTCTATACAGACAACGTTTCACAGCTATACGCAGGAACTATACAACTACATTTGATGAAGCTCCATTTGATTGGTTTTTAAAATTGGGTGTTCGTAAAATGTATAGCACCCAATAGCCGTAATTATAACGCTAAAAAGTAGTAAAATTAAAATTAAAGAAAAGATGATTGTATGGCTGTAATGATAGTAGGTATCATTTTCAAACCAATATGCCGACTTGATCCGGGGCACATTGAACCCTCACTTTACCTTGGCAGCATATAACTGCACATTTCTAAATTATTGATTTATGTAGGTACCTAATATTGTGTTGAAAAAAAATTAATAATAACAATAAATTTTATTGGCAATATTCTAAATTTTTTGTAGCTTTTCAAAGTAAATCCTTCCTGAGTAATTCTATTTAAAAAAAAATGTTAACACAGGTATTTAATACAGGTATTCAATATGTTATCTCGAATATTGACTTAATATAAATCATAATACTATAGGTATACAGTTATGGAACTTTAAATTTTAGATTCTATATGGAGCGAAAAAGAATATGGTTTTACAGAGATGTTTATTTTTATTTTTATTTTTTTTATCTGTGCACTTTTCTACCAGAAATCTTGCTCCATTTTTCAAGTGTAAAACACCTTTTCTGAAAGGAAATTTGTGTGGAGAGGTACTTTAAGGAGGTCATTTTTCGATTTCCTAAAGAGTTTTTTCATCAAATATTAAAAACCAGAGGGAAAAAGGGAAGAAAAACGGAAATATATAAGAAATGTGGGTACTAGTTAAAATATTTTAGGGTTTTCTTTTTTTCTGTGCATGACTTTTCTGCCAGCAATTTTGCTTCAACTTATAAAGATAACAATTTTTCTAAAAGGAAATTTGAATGGAAAGGTACTTTAGGGACGCAATATTTCGATTTTCTCAAGAATTTTCCCAGTAAATGTGAAAAATACGCCAAATACACGATATTAACTGACAAATCAAAAAACAAAAATGAAGTATATAAAGTAAATTATTTATTTCTTATTTTCTGATTTGTCGAGAGATGTGTTTGCCCCTAAATTATATACCTATTAGACGATAAAACATAGAAGTTATTAAAATAATCGCATGCAATGAATTACAACCTCGTTATTATAAGCGTATTAAAATATTAATAATACGTATTTAAATTATTTTTCAAGTTATACTCATATCAATTGATCCTGTCGGGTAAATTTATATTAACTCCACAGACAACCAATAATTAAAAGTATTACTTTAATACTTGGAAACAGTACATCCTGACAATGATCCAATGAATCCTGATGTATTAAAATTGTTCACAGTTTCCTTAATAATACTAACAGTGTTTTTAATTGCTATGACATTAGATGATTTAGAAATCGATAAATTTAAACAATGATTAAAACATGGGCTATAAACTGCGTTTGAAGTTGCATTTGATTGAATATATTTAACAGCACCACGAACTGTGGCTTTCATAACCGAGCAACCATTGGTAGCAATTCGAACACAGTGTTCCAAATTTAAATTCAAATTTTTTAAAATATTAATTACTATTTTTCCAGGAATATTACCTATGAGTTTTGGTTCAATAATTGTGTTTTCTTCATTTTCTGTACATTCTTCATTGTAATTGAACTGTTCCTCTTGGTTTGACATTTACTTATTATAAAAGTATGTATGACAGTTTATGAATGAAACAAAATCTTCTTTTATTTTTCCATAAAAAATATATCTTAAATTTAGTGTCATTTGAGATGAATGTGATACATCTATAGTTTCATCAAATATAATACTATACAACTTATTACAATTAATATCTGTTAATATTTTGTAAATAATTTCTTCTTTGCAGCATTCTATTTTTTCTTCTTAAATTGTGTTACTTTTTTAGGTAGCTTTAGCAAGAGTTGTCTTAAGATGACTTTCTAATATCTTATCGCCAAATTTTATTAGAAATCTTAAAAGTTTCCTTCATTAATAACAAATGTTTTTGAACTAGCCGTAGCTAACGAATCTCCATTATTCCTATGCACTCTTAGAGGAATGTTTTGTCTTGCCGAAAAATTTATTGATTCAATAATATTTCTATTTCTGTCTCTATTTTCAAGCATTGGACGTTTTCTTTCACTATCTATCATATAAATAACATCTTTTTCAAGATGCTCAAAACGGGACAAAAACTCTTCAGCTTGTAAAACTGCATTTTTATGATATAAATTATTTCGATAGGATTCTAAATCACCATCTTTTCCCAATAATTTAGCAAATGTATTTAATGGTACAGTAACTAATATTTTTAAAGGATCAGTATTTCTCAACTCTCCTTTATTATTAACAAATAAAGTACACAAAATTTACAGAATAACCCAGAGAAATTTCGTGAAGTGAGATTGATTTAAGTATCGTTTTAATTCTTTTCCTTTTTTAATGTGTATTGAAAAAGGATAAGTAAAATCAGATTCTACAAATAATTGTTTTAATTAAACGATACTTTGTATTCTAATTTAATGACCTTGAGTTTATGTAATAACCAATATCGTCAATAAAATTTGAAGGTTCTAAAATATAATTTTCTATGCTACAATCAGTTTTTTGTTCATTTTAAGATAATTGAGAAGTGGACGGCATCGGAATATTTAAATTTTCTGTTTTATTAACTTATTCTGATAAAATATGTTTCTTGTTAAATTTTTTTTTTCAATTATTCCAAATAATTAAAAAAAAAATTCCCACTTCCAAATTGTTCACGTTCACTATAAATAATATCGATTTTTCATCCTGAGATGGGACACTTTATTAATTGAAATACTTTTCTACATTGCAAACAGTTTTTCTAAACTATTAAAAAAATTACTCTGGCTAATATACCCACTAATAAATTACTTATATAATTAAAGTGTTTATACTTCATTGTTTATTTCTACTGGTATACATTTTTAATTTTTAATTTTTTTTCTATAATATTAAAATAATAATAAGATGACGGAAGAGATGACCGACAATAGTAAGTAAAAACATAATTACCAAGACTAAAGGTCTAGTTGGCCCCGGGGCCAAGATATAAAATGGGCTCTATTTCTCTATAACGTTTTATACACATGCTTGTATGCAACATAAATTTTTATTGAACATTTGTAGGCTCAGAGCTCAAAAGGCCCGCCTACCCCTTAATTAGGTACGTAAGTCCAATGAGGAGAGGGAACAAAAATCTTGTAATAGTTTAATAGACGGGGATGAAGAGGCTGAACCTCTCAAAATCATTGAAATTTTTTATTTTTATAATAAATGAGTCTTAAGGCTGTTGGGACTGGTTTTCTTAAAAGAATCCAATTTTGTAAAATTTCAATATTTTAATGTCCGTCTTAAAGATAAGACTTCCGTTAAAATGCCGACAGTGACTCACACTAATTTTCTGTAAGTTGTTAAAAAATTGTTTATGACATACCTACCACCTATTAAATATATCCTAAAAAAATTTTGTAATGAATTTTGTTACTTTATTAAGACTTCAGAGAACGTCACACAGGTGGTTTTTAGTGCTAAAAATATTTTTATGCAAAATAAATGAAATTACATTTTAAAATGATTTTAGAGTTTAAATGGGTCTATAGATATAGATCTTTTTGCTGCGATCATTTCGTCGCCATCACTCACCGCCGCTCATTTCGCCGCTGTTCTTTTTGCCGCCGTTAATTTCGCCGCCATCGTTTCACCGCCATTCAATTCGCTACCAACTATTCGCCACAAGACATTTTTTCGTTTGAAAACTAGTACTGTTGTTTTTCAACGTAAGTTGGTGGGATCTTTTATGCATAGATCTATTAGGGACACTTTATATTAAATATACTCCCTTCTGATTTTTGGATGAATTTTGGACCTCAAAAGGATTTAGTGATTAGAAAGTAATTTTAACGTCAACAAATTTGGCTTGGAATCCCATATAAGTCCCCTCCGTAGTTTGATAACATTAAATCCCTTTCAAAAGAACTAGCTTAAAATTCGTCCGATCACTACCGAAATTTAGATATAACCCTTAGATTACCTCTAGACTACTCTAACAAAATTTATTATCGAGCGGAAAAAGCAATATTCCTCTAAAGTGGTGAGTGGGTCATTATTAACCAGCGACAAAAAGATCACGGCGACGTGTACTAGCAGAGCCGTGTCATTTCACCCGGACGTAAGGTAAAAATGTCGACCCCCCATTTATTTAATTATTTACATGATAATTTAGATTTTAGACAGTGATAAATAGTGTGATTATTAATATAAAAAAATAATGCAACTAAATATGTAATATTATTAAAAATATTTATTTAATGAATTAAGTATTTATATAGCTTAAAATTTAATTTTATGGATTGATAGAAGCAAAATCTTCTATAACATCTTCAAGGTCGATTTGTTGGGTTATTTAATTCTCAATTAATAATATTGTCGAGTTTGTAAATCTTAATTCATTTTAATTTACTGAAGGATCGCTCTCAGAATTCTACAGTAACTGACATACAATTTTGACAGAGCTGATCTTTACGTGAGACCGCCCGGAATAGAATCAAAAATTATGTTGGTTTTTTTATTTTACAAATTATTTCTTTAATAAAAAGATTGACATACTTCGCACAATGGGTGGACTAATGTTATAGATGAAAGGTAGGATATTGAGGGAAATTTAATGTATATCTGTACCTAAGCAAATTTAAGCTTTGCTAACGAAAAACGATTCTGAGCGGAGCTCAGTTAGTAGTATTGCTCAGGGGCATTTTTGGGTCAATTCCATGGGAGGCAAACAATTTTTTACTCCTGAATACCACGGCTTTGATCAACAAAAACCTAAAATCTTTATGTCTAATGTCATTTCAACTTATATTAGCTTAGAAGATATATTGTACAAATGTAGTACAAACAGTAGAATTTAAAAGTTATATTTATGTTTTTCATATTAAATAAATAATAATTAAAATAATGATAATATGAATAAAAAAAAAAATAATAATAATAATAGTTAATAAAAGTAAATTGACCAAGTCTAAATTACTTTTATTTTAAGCAGCGTTTTGCAAGTGGTTTGATTAACAATATTTTCTATATTAATGTTATCATTTCGATGAATATTTGAAAGTAATAAGCCAGTTAGTCTATGCTCATTTTTTTTTTTTTTTACCACAAAGTATGACTTTTAATGAACCTCATATTAAATTCTCAAGAATTTCTGTTTATTCTAATAATTTTATCCTCAGTGTACCCTACCGAATAAAAATTGCATACAAAACTCCCAAAATTAAAATGTAAATTGTTACTTTTTAGAATGGTTAAATGTTGTGTTAATCATGACACTGAACAACTTGAAACATTTAATATGTTCTAGAATCAGATTTCGAACATAATTTGCTGTACAATTTATTAGTTGATTTTGACGCCTCCATGAAATAAAATCAAATTTAGGTTTTTTGAATTTTGTATGGTTTTTTTATGTTTGTAGTTAGTGATGGATAATCTTCTGCTATAAATAAAGTATATCTTTAAAGTTCCCTTTTATTTTATTTATCCAACTTTCACGTTCTTCCAATTTTATTTTCAAACAAACCTCGATGTTTTTTGATGATGATTCATGCATTACAATATTTTGGGATGCTTTATTCTAAGTTCAAAACCCATTACTCGTCCATGCTGGATTGTTATTGAATCCAATTAAAATACAATAAATACAATGATTTTTGTCTTTACTACGCGAATATGAATACCATTTTCTACGTGTGGAAGTACCATCTGATATTATTTTCTTTAAACTTTTATTTTTGCGAAGAGAAAAATGTTTTCCTGGCATTTATTCTCTTCAGGTTGGCATGGTCCTATTTATATGATTTATTAACATACTCTCAAAAACATTGGTAACTGACTACTATTTCGTATACCATATTATGGTACCCATATACCTATATTATAACATTAGCCTACTACTAGTTGCTTATGGTCTATTTTTATAACATTTTATTGTCTAATGAATATAATGAATATACACTATTTCTATGACTATAATTCAATACCTCCTAATTTATGCGTCACCTAACACCCATCACCCATTCCATTAGGGTTATCGATCTACAACTCTGCACCCCTCCGTGTGCGCCACTGACTATCGATATCCATTTAATAGGAAGGTTGTTATTACCTCTTTACGGACGAAAATTATTACGCGGAAAAACTCTTACGTCACATATATTTTAGTAACAAATAAATATACTTATTTATATTTTTTTTATTATTTAAAAGCAGAATGATAAACTTTTTGCAAGTCATATATTATCCTCTGATTTTTAATTGAAAAATAATAGCTATTAAATATTTTGTGAAATTTTGAACATCGTATGATGCACGGGGGAGTGGGCCTTCGCCTCTTTCGCTACCCCAACAAGAATATGAACGAACCAGCCTTTAAGTCGAGTTTGAGAATTATGAAGTATTCAAGTATAAAATTAATTACTTTATTTGAGTTACTGGACTTTATTAATGTGATAATATTATTCATAATATTGACGTTTAACGAAAACGTATTTTCTAATAGAAATAATAATTATTGATATATTTAATTTAGAACCAAAATATAAAATACAAATATAATGAATGAGCTAATTTATAATATATTTTAATATATTTTCGTTGCAGGTCGGTCTTACCCGATTGCCGTAAAAGAAACCTACAAGAAAGGTATAGCTACATATTTACACATTGAACTATCATAAAATTATAATATCTTATATAATATTTTAATTTAATTTAAAACATAATAGACATAGTGCACAGGGTATTTTTTTAACACTTGTTATATTATGTTTTGTATATTAATTTTTATTTTTTTGGAATGAAATTCATTTGTGATCAAATATAACCGTTTGACTTCTGTGTGATAGCACCTTTTAAAAGTTAAAATGGACCAATATTTAACGGTGGCATCTGCAATTGCGAGGAATAAAAACGAGGAACAAATTGATGAAAATAAAAATGCCAACATTAAAATATATACAAAAATTATAGTAGTATATAATTTTGGTGCCGATAATGATTTTAAAATAAGAATCCAACAAATAATATTAATATAATAACAGCATTAAAGTTTTGTTGCGAGTTTGCTTAAATTTTTGAAACAAAAAATGTTGATAAAACTATAAAAGTGTTTAGTATTAAAAAAATAATTTATTTATAAAATTAAAATAATAAAACACCTACCTACTTAAATACTATCTATAAAACATATACAAAAACAAATAATATTGTCATTGTAGGTAGAGACGAAGACGTTGCACCATATATGTTGCAAACTGAATTGTTCATCAAAACGTTTTACGATGAAGGTCCGGGTACTGTAGATGACTTTGAAATAGGTCTTCAAAAGCTAGCAGTAAGTCAATATCGAATTGCTGTCATATTTTTACAGTATATGATATCAATATTTATATTTTATTCCTACGTAATATATTAATTGATGTAAGGAATGTGATAAAAAATTCGAAGAGATAATGTCAAAAAAAAGTGTAATGGAATACTTGTCACTAGTATATGGAATGCCACAAAAAATTTTCACAGATCTTGATAATGCATATGAAGAATTTGATAATATTCGGTTAGTTTTTGATTTATATTTACGACAAAAGATTGAGAGAGAAAATTGGTCTAAAACGTTATGGTCAGAATTAAACCCACAATTGTTATCAGAGGGCATGGACAATTTTTTAAAACAGTTCAAACAACTTCCAAAAGAAAGTCGGTCTTTGTCGATTGCATTAATTTTAAAGGAAGATATGAGAATATTTAAAAATGCCATTCCATTATTCATCGAGCTTAAAAATGATGCAATGAAAGAAACCCACTGGGAAAAACTTATGGAACAAACTGGTAAGTTTTCAAAATCAATGTAATCCAGAACATTAATTTCGATATTTTTTTTTTCAAGGTCAATATTTTGATATAAATCCTGAAGTATTAACATTAGAAAACATTTTTAGCATGGATTTAGGCAAGTATAAAGACATATGTATGGAAATAGTTGCTAACTCAGTTAAAGAAATGAGTATTGAACTTACTATCAAAGACATAGAAAAGGTAAGTATAATATTATTACCTATTTTGGAGATATATCTACTAATTTAAAAGTACAGATGACTTCTTAAAAACCGATAAACTCTATTGCTCTTTGACTTCTACGTTAGTCAGTCGTATGTACTTTGGTCGGTTTTGATCATTCACTTTTGTAACCGTTTTTATAGTCTATTAACTACTGCCTTCCATCATAGTTCACCGTTATTGCTATCACCGCTCCTCGTACGGGTAACCACCGATCACCGCAGCTGCCATAATAACGACCAAAGAAAAGTAGAATTTAGAAAAGAATTTAATGTATATTAATCGCAATGATTAATTATTTCTAATGAAAAACGATTCTGAACAAAGTTCGGTTATACATGTTTTGAAAGGCCGAAATATAATTACGATTTTCGTCAAAATTTGATATAAAAACGCATAAAAAAAAATCTACATTACACTCAATTTTTATTTAATCGTTTTCACCACAAATTAAGACTTATAATGAACCTCCTGTTCAATTTTCAAGCATTTCTGTTTGGTCTCACAACGTTATCCACAGATTACTTGCCGAATAAAAATTACATAAAAACATTAAAATGTCAACAAACAGCTCAAAAATGGCTAAAATATTTCCAAAATTTGACCACATCTAAAAAGGCAAATATAAGTTTTTCTGGCCTAAATTCAAGTCTCTAAAAATATTTTTAACTGAATCACAACGAAAAATAAAATTGAAAATAATACATTTCGTACATTTTCCCGTTTTACCTAAGTTTTTTCCCAGTTTTTTTCCACTTATATTGAAAACCCATTTAGAGAATCGAAAAATAACACTCTTGAAGTACCACCCAGATAAAATTTTCTTTCAGAAAAGGCGCTACACTTGAAAATCGAAACAAGGTTTGTAGTAGACAAGTTGTTTACAGATAAAAAAAAAAATTTATCATTATAAAACCAATATAATTCCTCGCTTCGCTAAGAATCTATAACTGAGTATGTTAGGTTAACCAAATACTACTTTTGTATATTTATTTTGATTATTATTTTAAATAATATAAACATTAAATACTTACATTTTGAATTATCATATTGTCTTAACCAAATTATTATTTATTTAAATAGAATTGGGAAAATATGTTAATTAATATAGTCGAATATATAAAAAATGATAAAATTCGAGGTTTGATCATGGGAGATTTAACTGAAATTTTTCAACTCCTGGAAGACAATGGAATGACTCTTCAGAGCTTGGCTGGTTCTCCGTAATTACACTTATAAGTTATAAGTTAAGTTTTTTCTCATTTAAAAATACTAATACATGTTTAAATTTTACGTGCATAGGTTTGTTGGTGAATTTCTACACATTGTTCAAAAATGGTACAAAGATTTAGAATTAATAAGTAACATCCTTACTGTATGGGATTTAGTACAATTAAAATGGATGTATTTAGAAGAGATATTTCTCGATAGTAAATTTCGATCACAACTGCCCAACGAATCCATGCAATTCGATGCTTTAAATAACATATTTACATCAGTGATTAAAAATATTGCAAAAAACCCAAGAATAATGAATTTATGTAGCAAACCAGAATTATTAGATGAATTAAATCAATTATTGGAAGAATTTGAAACGTGTCAAAAATTGCTGAACAAGTATTTAGACACCAAACGAAACTCTTTCCCAAGGTTCTATTTTTTATCGGACAGTGAATTACTATCAGTTTTGGGTAACACACATAATCCTGAAGGTATCCAAGAACACATTGTTAAGATGTTTGATAATGTTGGAAGTCTGTCGTTCATAACTAATTTACGTAGAAATACTTTAATAAACGCTATGATTTCATGTGAAAAAGAAACTATGGGATTTAAAACTAATGTCTTAGTCGAAGGCCCGGTTGAGTATTGGATGTTAAGTGTGTTAACAGAAATGTGGAACTCTAATAGATATTTAATAAAAAAGTCTATATTTGAATATGGAAATACCAAGAAATCTCGATGTGAGTGGATGTTAGATTTTCAAGGACAGATGTGTTTAGCCGCTAACGGCGTTTGGTGGACAGCAGAGGTTGAATACGTTTTTATGGAATTTGAAAAAGTATATTATAAGAACTTATTAAATTTTTACTTACCTTATAATAATATTCATAAATAATAGTTTTTGTTATTAGGGAAATAACTATGCAATGAAAAACTATTTAGAACAATCAAATAAACAGCTGGACGAGTTGATCATACAAGTGAGAGGTGAACTTTCCTCAAACGACCGAAAAAAATTCAACACCGTGTTAATCGTTGATGTGCATGCCAGAGACGTCATTGAAAACTTTGTTCGAGACGGAATTGTAAAAAATCAAGAATTTGACTGGGAAAGCCAGTTAAGATATTACTGGAAAAAAGATTCTGACTTTGGTAATTTAATAGTCGACCAATGTTCTGGAACATTTTCGTATGGATATGACTACATGGGATTAAATGGACGTTTAGTAATAACTCCGCTAACAGATCGCATTTACCTAACGATCACTCAAGCACTTTCGATGCAATTGGGTTGTGCCCCTGCTGGTAATTTTCGTATTTAACTAAATTTAGTTCTATAAAAATAAAAATAAATGTAATATCATTTTAAGGGCCCGCTGGTACTGGTAAAACCGAAACTGTTAAAGACTTGGCAAAAGCGTTAGGGATATTATGTATGGTGACGAACTGCGGAGAAGGAATGGACTATCAAGCTTTTGGTATAATATTGGATGGCTTATGTCAATGTGGCGCTTGGGGTTGTTTCGACGAGTTTAATAGAATTGATGTATCGGTGCTTTCCGTCATTTCAACTCAATTGGGTACCATCAGAAATGCGTTACTCGAAAAAACTGAAACATTTATGGTAGGAAATATACATCATTACATGTTTAACATATTCTTATTTAATTTTGATTCTCATTTAAAAAAAAACTTATATAATTTAGTTTAGGGGTAGAGATTCCAAACTTGATAATAAGGTCGGGATATTTATAACAATGAATCCAGGTTACGCCGGACGTACAGAATTACCGGGAACCGTGAAAATTTTTTTCCGACCTGTCATCTGTGTACTTCCAGATTTGGAGCTAATTTGTTTAATAATGCTATTCTCTGAAGGTTTTTTAAATGCTAAAGTATTGGCGAAAAAAATGGCGGTCTTATATAAATTGGCCAGAGAACAATTATCAAAACAGTCCCATTATGACTTTGGATTAAGAGCATTGAAATCAGTACTCGTTATCGCAGGAGAGTTAAAAAGAAGTGCACCGGATATTGATGAAAATGTCGTATTAATGAGAGCGTTAAGGTTAGTAAAAACTAAAATATGATTTTTTAGTTATGCCAACTAAAAAATCAACTTAATATTTTAGAGATATGAACTTACCTAAATTTGTATATGACGACGTACCTCTTTTTCTGGGTCTTATTACTGATTTATTTCCTGGACTGCAATGTCCACGAGTAACATATCCGGAATTTAGTAAAGCAGTCGATAATGAAATACAAAAGAAATCATATGTACCAATTGAAAATCAAGTAAAAAATCATATTTAAAAATTATATATATATTATAATACAATATCATGAATCATGATAATAAAGGATATCCGGATAAAACAAATAATAATAATTGACTACACTTGATGTCAAAACTCAAAATGTATGATATAAGTATCAATATAAATAAAAAAGAATAAAGTATTTATAATTATATAGGTACTGTGGTATCCCGTCAATAGATAGTGGCTAATTAATAGCGCGACAATTGATAGTGGACAATAGATGCACGACAATTTATAGTATACGACGTTTAAAACGATATTTTAAAATTCTAAAGCAAAAAGGCCAACACATTTATTTTTATACATTTAGTAGATAAACTTCAATTGCCGATAATCTACTATTATTTTTATTTATTTTGTTGTCAGTTTATCATACAATTTTTATACTAGCAATTTCATTTTTAATATTATATTAGTCTTAATAAAAGTATACTTCTATGAGTGCATAAACAAGACAGTAATTATGACTTAACGGTTCATTAAAAGTGAAAGAGGCACCGAGTCGGTAGATAAACATTGACATTTATCCGCATAAATTTAATAAGCCAGAAAAAAGTATTTGGTGGTGTGTGCAATATAAAAAAAATGTAGAGAAAAAGTTTATGTATCTAATGGTGAAAAAGTAAAATACTTGGATCATAATAATGTTCCGGATATTTCCAAAATTGAAGCCAAATTACAGGTCAATGAAATAAAAAAAAAGGCCAGAAATGCCTATTGTCCAACATTTATTGACACACAATTGACCACTATCTATTGATATGGATCAAAGTACTGTATTAGTTAAAATATAGGTACTCGGATACTTGTTTGCCCCGCCACTACACCGTATACAATTTATCTCCCTGTCATTCTTGTTTGTTATCGCCCCGCCATATAGTTGTATAATTAGTGTGCCGTTGTTGTTCCTACAGTTATCGTGTTAACTCGTGATAGATGATCTATTTTAAAAAATATTTTAGAAAATAACTGCATTTTATTTCATAAGTAGATTAATTATTATATCATTAGTATGTTGCTTTTAGGCTGTGATCGATTGAAGTAATTATCTACGTGAGGTGTGTGTATGGAAGTTAGAAAATAATCAAAATAAAGAAATTGGTGATCCCAGTCTTTTTTTCGAAATAGATAAAAGTTTATTTATGCGTAGAAATTATAATGCTGGACGTATTTTATCACAGCAATAGATTTTCAGAGGAATATGTCGGAAAACCAAAGCGTGTGTTTTATAATTAGTGTACCAGATCGATCAGAGAAAAACTGGTTACCTAAAATACAAAAATATATAAAACCAGGCTCAATAATTTTGTCAGATTGTTGGAAAGCTTATAATAATTTGCAACAATTGGATTTCCAACATAATACTGTTAACATCACCCACATTTTGTTGATCCTGACACAGAGAAACATACCCAAAACATTGAGAAGTTGTGGAGATCTGCTTAATAGAGAAATAAAAATCGTCGTAGAACTAATTGAAATTTTCTGGAATCTTATTTGGCAAAATTTATGTGGAGAACACTTCTTGAGGAACAAGATGCATTTGAAACTATCTTGAAAGATACTTCAGAGTTCTGACCTCATTTGTAGTATTTCTTTTTACACATACATTGTTTAAATTTACTCGAAATGAAATAACGTTTTAAAATTATTTATTTATTTAATAATTAAAATTATATATATATACTTACTTATTTCTAGATGGATAAAGTTACTCAATTGTATGAAACTATGATGACAAGACATTCGACCATGGTTGTAGGCCCTACTGGAGGTGGGAAAACAGTTGTTATTAATACACTAATTGGTGCACAGTGTTCTCTCGGATTACCAACGTCTGTCCAAACATTGAATCCCAAGGTTAGTAAATAAATTGCAGTGCGATAGAAGCAATTTATTTCATGCATTCCAAAATATATTTAATACATTTTTTAGAACAAATTATTAATTGGCAGGCATGTCCTGTGATTGAGTTATATGGATTTTTCGATCTAGTCACTAGAGATTGGACGGACGGGCTGCTGTCAAATATATTTAGAGAAGTGAACAAACCAATACCAGAAAACCGACCAGAAAGAAAATATATATTATTCGACGGTGACGTGGATGCTTTATGGATAGAAAATATGAATTCGGTTATGGACGACAATAAACTTTTGACATTGGCTAATGGCGAACGTATTAGACTGTTACTTCATTGTGCATTATTATTTGAAGTCAATAATTTTATGTCATCAAAACTTCAGTGATAATTTAACACAATAATAATGTTCTTCAGGTTAGCGACTTGCGGTATGCGTCACCGGCTACGGTCTCTAGGGCAGGCATGGTGTACGTAGATCCTAAAAATCTGGGATACACTCCGTACTGGGATAAATTTGTATTGAAAACTTATACAGACCGAGACGTTTTAAATTTATTATTCGACAAATATGTCCCGGCTATTTTGGATCGTATATTTGAGGGTACCGTTGGATTCGAAAAATTCACTCCGTTAAAGTTAATTGTGTCCCAAACTAAATTAAATATGGTATGAGTTATTGTATTATTAACTATACAATGTTATTGTAAATGAACGATGTCAATTTAATTCTATACATATTACAGGTAACCCAGCTATGTTATATGTTAGATGCGATATTAAAATATAAAGCTAATGACCTCGTTGAAGACGATTCGTGGGGAACTCCGGCTTCTGACAACAAATCATCGAAAAGAAGTGCACAAATTACTGATGAAATGGAAGCAATTTTTATTTCGTCTTTATATTGTTCATTGGGAGCAGCGATCGAAGGCAGTTCTCGACTAGTATTTGACGAGTTTGTAAAAAAAATATCGGGATTGATGAAATTTGATGACACTCCATTAAAAAAAGCTACTGTTGGTAAGATTCTTTTTTTAGGATTATATATTTTAGATATATTTTTGGAAGATTTCTATTTCAATTAAGAACCATGTATACAAGCAAGAAAAAATGGTTATTTTAAAATAATTATTTCTCTTTTGTATTATGATAGTTTCTTTTAATATGGTTCTGTGGTTCTATCTATGTCATATTAACAGACTAAATATTATTTAAATTTGTACATTACATAGGGTTTATTCCAAATACTGAGGAATCGTGGTACGAATATTTTTTGGATATTGAACAAAAAACTTGGATCCCGTGGAACACTCTAGTAGCTAACTATGAACATAATCCAAATACAAAATTTAACGAAATACTAGTGCCTACTGTTGATTCAACACGAGTAACATGGCTACTGGATCTTATGACTACCGTAAAACGTCCAGTGATTCTCATTGGTGAAACTGGAACGTCGAAGACAGCAACAATGCAAAACTTTCTTAGAACACTTGATCCCGATAAATTTGTTTGAATTCATTAATTTCAATTTATTTAAACAATTATTTATTTTACTTGAAATATTTTTATTTTTAGATTCAAGCAAATTTTAATTTTTCGTCTAGAACAACGTCTTTAGACGTGCAAACGAGCTTGGAATCAAATGTTTCTAAACGAAATAAAAATAACTATGGACCACCTATAGGTAAAAAACTCGTTTGCTTTATAGACGATATGAACATGCCTCAAGTGGACACATATGGTACTCAACAACCAATAGCACTACTAAAACTATTTTTAGAACTAGGAGGAATGTATGATCGTTCTAAAGAATTAAGTTGGAAGTCTTATGTTGATATATGTACGGCGTTAACTTTTTTCAATTAAATACACTGGTGTTATACTAAAAACATTATATATGGTTTCTTTAGATTTTTATGCAGCTATGGGAAAATCCGGTGGTGGTAGAAACGTAGTAGATCCAAGATTTGTCTCGATGTTTTCCGTTTATTGTATGGTATTTCCTTCGGACTACACTATAAATCACATATTTCACTCAATTCTTTCGGGACATACGTATAATTTCAACGATGATGTAAAAGCAACTGTACCCGATATATTGAAAATGACATTAAAGTTATATAAGGTAAGTTTGAAAATTAATTTCACAAAAGAAATGTGAATTATAAAAATATATGTATTATACATGAATATTTCTCTTTTTCAAGATAATAATAGTAGAACTTCCACCAACTCCTTCTAAGTTTCATTACATATTTAATCTTCGTGATATCAGTAAGATCATTAGTGGAATGCTTTTCACAAACCCGTCAATTTTTGACAGTGTTTTAAGTTTTGTAAGAGTATGGAGAAATGAATTCACACGCGTTATATGCGACCGATTTAATAGCGAGCAGGTACTATAAGTATAACTAGTTATTAAATTGTAACTTATAAACTATGTTTTTATCGTAATTTAGGATGAAAAATTGATAACATCGAGACTAGAAGAAACTCTAGATATATTTTTCCCAAATGAAAAACACGAAGTTCTAGTAAATCCTTTACTTTTCGGGGATTTTAAAAATGCTCTAGACGAAAATGGTAAACAACAGTTGTATGAAGATTATGAAACATATGAAATCGTGCAGGGAATATTCGAAAACGTAACATTATACATCAAGAAATAATAAACATAGGCGCAAATGGAAGGCTTTAGGAGCTGAGTCCCCCAACAATTTAAATAGCCCCCCAAAAACCCTCCCAAGTTATTTTTCTACTTATTGAATTTTTTAATAGTTTATAATATTTGTTTATAATAAAAAATAAATTATAAATAATGAATTTACCATTGGTAAAAAGTGAATGAAGAAAATAAAAAAAAATTTTACGACAATCAAACATTAAACAAATAGCATAATTCACAAACTGTATTTATCATGATGTTATTTATGAATTATAATATTATCATAATACTGTAGGTACATTATAATAATAATATGTAGATCAAAATATATATGTACTAAAAATAAGTTAGTTACGTGGCCTATTAAAAGATTTTCATCGCAGTCTCGCAATATTAAACATTGAAAAAGATATTGCAGTAGATAATGAAGTATAATAGATGAATTTGTAAAAGTAACCGAAGAATACAACTTAATATTAGCCAATAACTTTTCTATATTTAATGTCACATTAAAAAAGTAAATTTAATTTGTTTTATGTTAACATTATTCTGTTGTTACTTTTTGATTAAAAAAGCCATTCGTATAATTTGTTTTATGCTGTAAAATATTTATTCTATATTATAGATATAATTTTGAAATATCTATTAAAAGTAGATAAAATAATATGTAAGAAAAAATACGTATTAAATTGTATTCTACTTAGGTTTACATTTATGTTACATTAGAAATCGAACGGAGTGAGACAAATTTTTAGATGTTTAGAACTTCCACAATATTGCTTCATTGAGTAACTAAGGCTTCACCCCTCCTCTCCCCCAAATTTTAAACCCTATTTGCGCTTATGTTCATAAAATATCCTTAAAATAAATAATACAAATTGTAAAATAGATTTTAACGGAATATAACGAAGGGAAACAACAAATCGATATGGTATTATTTAATATGGCGTTAGAACATTTGACTAGAATTCACAGAGTATTAAAAATGGATACTGGACACATAATGCTTATAGGTGTCGGAGGAAGTGGAAAATCGTTAATGACTAAACTCGCAGGTTTTACTGCAGGTACCTACATTTGTATTTTGAAAACTCAGATTAATATATTAAAAAAATAATTTGTACATTATTTTTTAGGATGTGAAATTTTTTCAATTATTTTAAGTAAAGGATATAACGAAGTTTTATTTAAAGAAGATCTAAAAACATTATTTTTGATGATAGGCGTAGAAAACAAAAAAATAGTTTTTTTCTTAACTCAATCTCAAATTTCTGAAGAAAGTAAAATTAACATAGATAATAATAAAAAACTTGTTTTTTACATTTTATACATTAAAAAAAAATACAAATGTGTACACTTGCTTTAAAGGTTTTTTAGAAACTATCAACAATATATTAATGGTTGGAATGGTCCCAGCTTTGTTTACAGAAGAGGAAAAAGATGGAATAATAAATGAAGTTAGAAATAATTCTATTAAAGATGGTTTTGGAAATACTAGGTGAGTAAGCTTTTAGTTTAAAATCACAAAACAAATCAACCAGTTTAAAAATGCATAGCACATACAAACAGTGGAGTAGTTAAGGGGGGAAAGGTTTGAACGTCTTTAGCTCTTTTGAATAGATAATAACTCGTAAAATTCATAAAATGAATCATAATTTTCTTTTATTGTGTAAAATAATTAGGAATAATTAAAGTTTACAAATAACATTCGGCTAATTAAATTTGTATTATTTAATAATTGAATACCTTAATTATTATAATACAACTGGTACAAGTTTGTAAATTGCTTAGTTCATAGTGTTCATATTACAAGACATGTCTATGCATCAGATTTTTTTTAACCACACCCCCCCTTCTTTGACTAATCCCCGACTACACCACTGCATGCAAGTTATACATTGTAATAAACCTACTAAAATCTATATCTATCAAAAATTATTTTTACAGAGATTCATGTTGGTCATATTTTTTAAGAACGTGTATAAACAATCTCCATGTAGTTCTCTCCATGTCACCAGGAGATGAACTTCGGACAAGATGTCGTAATTTTCCAGGTTTAGTCAATAAAACATATATAAACTGGCTTTTCTCTTGGCCTGAACAAGCTTTATATGCTGTCGCACAATCTTTTATAAACAAGGTAGGTAGAAAACATATAAACTAAAAATAATTATAGCATACTATTTTAAAACTACTGGTTTTTTCAGGCATCTTTATCAATAAAGGAAGATCAAAAAGAAATTACTATAAACCATATTGTTTATACGCATCAATCTATGCACTACTATACTAATGATTTTTTAGTAAAATTAAAACGCAAAAATTATCTTACGCCTACACATTATTTAGACTTTATAAATTTATATATAAATCTAATCAATGAAAAATCAATTAATACTAAAAAACAAGTAATCATGTGTTTAGCATAGAAACTAATATTATCATAACTGTATTGGCCACAGATGCACGATGCACTTGCGTCCTATAAAAATATTATATATTATAATCTTACAGATAATCTAAAATTACTACTTAATGCGTAGTCATATATTACTATTTTTTAAGACAAATTTTTAATTTAAAAATATTACTTAGCGACCATCACCGGTACGATGAAACTGTTTTTATTTTTAACATACACAAAATATTATTTTAAATGTATCCGAATTGGTTCCCGAGCTCATACCCCACATGCTGAATTGGTTCCCGTTTAATACCTACATTTATACAAAAAAAACAATAAATATAGGTATAATGTACTACATTTTTAAACTTTTATTCAACTTTTATTATATTAAAGCAAGTATTTTATATTTATCAAGTTAATAAAATAATGTTATATCGGCGTATTGCCAAAATACCGCAATCGATTAAGATAATATCTATCCATCTGGATATACGTATACCAACTATACCAAGTGATTCATTTAAATGGGTACACTCATTATCTCGGAAAGTATTAACTTTTTCCAGAATTTATTTTCTAGAACATTTAAGAAACAAGGTGCTCCATAATTTTATATTTGTGTTATTTTTTGTCACCCTTATTTTTGAGGAGTAAAACAACTACCTACTTTTGATTTTTAAATAGCATCGTATATTAAAAAATCCATAAATAGATTGAGTATTAGTTAAAATAAATTTTGATGTTAACATTTTTGATTTCCGTTGATCCGTTAACGAGATATTCCACTTTTACGTTTGGGTTGGAGGAGAGTAGTGGAGTATCATTAGGATGGAGGTACGACCCGCGCGTCGTGTTAATAATGCACCAATACTCTTCTCCAACCTAAAATTAAAAGTGGTATATCTCGTCAACAACTTGACTGAAATAAAAAATGTCAACATTAAAATTTTGTTTAACTAACACTCCATCTATTTATGGACTTTTTAATATAGGTTGCCATTTGAAAACCAAAAGTACGTAGTTGTTTTACCCACAAAAATAAGGGTGACAAAAATTAACATAAATTTTCAATTTTGGAGCAGCTTGTTTCTTAATGTTTTAGAAAACAAGTTCTGGAAAAAGTTAAGACTTTCCGAGATAATGAGTGTACCCAATTAAATGAATCACCTGGTATAGCTATACATTATATCGAATATAAAATACAAAAATGTTTCTAGTATAAAATCGAAGTAATTCTAAGTTGACAGTTCTGGGCCAGGAAGAATGGGAAGGAAATTGTGTGTATTTGACTATCTTACTGCAATGGGAACCAATTCGACCAGTAGTGGATACATTACAAATTTAAACAGGAACCTGTTGCTCACCTTCACATAAAATACCTTTTTACAAATGAAATCCAATTCGGCCAAACGGGAATCAATTTGGATACACCCATTTTTTCTGGTGGCATTTTGTATGAAACATTTTACATTTCCAAAATTCACCCGATAAGTCCATTTTTGATTTTTGTTTACAAATCATAAATTTACGATTAGGTAGAAGGCCCTAAATTATTCTAATCATACTTTAAAAGATGCAGAATTTTTGTCCAGTTTAATTAAAAAATATCTAGATTCCCAACAACTTTTCTATAAAATTTAAAGAACTAATAACAAAAGATGATACATTAGTTTTATTTTTATTAATTTTTTGGTTACCTTAGCTACGAACCGAAAAACCATCACTATATTATTACTAATATTACTTATCTCGGAATTGATTTTTTGTTTTTACGCTACTGGTTTAGGATTTTTTTTAAGTATTAACAGCAACCACTCCATAAGAGTAGCCAATATGGGCCTAAATATTATTATACTAGTACGTAAAAATGTAATAATTTAATATATTTATAGTGTGAAAGACTGCTGGTCGGTTTAAAGAAAATTGAAGAAGCTACAGCACAATTAATAGTTCTTAACGAACATTTAGAGATACAGAAAGTTGTTGTAGCCGAAAAAACGTTGGCGTGTGAAATAATTTTAGTGGAAATTGCTGAAGGTTTATAACAATATTGTTATTTAAATAATTTAAAATCGGGTTTATACTTGCCTACAATATAGCATGTGCTCATGTTTCGTACCGTACAATTCATAATACCTATATTGTTATACTTTTGTTAGTCCAATTCTATAAAATTTGCCTTCGACCTTGAAGGCTTGAGCGCATACTATTTTGTTTTTCAATAATTGGATACCTACACTGTTTAGAAGCATTTTAGTTAGGTATTATCAATCATGCAAAATATGTTGATTATTTATGTATACATTTTATTTTGAATACAGCTTCCAAGGAAGCAAATGTAAAAAAAGAAATTGTCGTTGAAAAATCTTTTGAGGCCAATGAAGCGGGTAAAATAATAGCCATCGAGAAGGAAGAAGCTCAAGAAATATTAAATCAAGCATTACCCACGTTATTTGAAGCGAAGGAAGCGTTAAACAATTTAAATAAAAGCGATATAACAGAAATCAGATCATTTGCTACGCCACCAGAACCCGTCCAAGTTGTAACAGAATGTGTAGCATTACTTTTGGGTTACAAAGAAATTGATTGGAAGGTGTGTAAACAAATGATGTCCGACCCACGGTTTTTAAAGACATTAAGCAATTTAGACGTTGAGGCTATCACTCAAAAACAACAGTCTCAAGTTAAAGCAAAACTTAAGGTAGACTAATCGATATTAATCACAATTAACAATATTCAAAAATAATTTTTTACTAATCAAATATTTGAGCATGTATTTTTTATTTTATTAAATATTAGACCTCCAAAAAAATTGCTAGTATGGGAGACATTAGTAAAGCTGGATTTGGACTACTATCTTTTGTTAATGCTGTTTTAGAGTATTGTCTTGTGTTTAAAGAAGTTAAACCTAAAAAGGAAAAAGTGAAAGCACTCGAACAGGAATTTGAAATAGTTTGTATTAAATTTTATAAAAAAAAATGTATTTTAATATAAAATACATTTATATTTCAATTGTGATATGATTATTATTTAGGTAACTAATCAATTAGAAAAACTAAATAAAGAGTTGAATCAAATAATGACTACACTAAGTAAATTAAACGAGAAATATGAAAACGCGATGGCTGAACGATTGATTATTCAAGAAGAAAAAGATCTCATGGAACGTAGATTAATTGCAGCTGATAAATTAATTAACGGTTTAAGTTCAGAAAATGTTAGATGGAAAATCGATTTAGCCAATTTAGAAGAATATATGCATCAAATATTCGGAAATTGTTTGATGAGTTCGTCGTTTTTAGCGTACACAGCACCATTTTCGTACGAATTTCGTGTTGACATGGTATTTAACAATTGGTATTTAAAAATAATAGATTCTGGACTACCAATTAGCGTTCCATACAAAATTGAAATTGAACTTTCCGATGAAGTTACAATTTCCAAGTAATTATTTTACTATTGTGATATTAATCTGATGTTATAAGTAAACATATTATATTAGATTCAGTTTAAAGTAATTGTTCGTTTTAGATGGAATGCAGAAGGATTACCGTCTGATGATTTATCAGTTCAGAATGGTATTCTTACTACGAAATCAAGTAGATTCCCATTATGCATCGATCCACAGCAACAGGTATGAATATATAATATTAGTAACTAAAAATTGTTTAAAGTGTTTAAATTTAAATGTTTTAATATAAAAAAAAACATTATATAGGCATTAAACTGGATTAAAAAAAGGGAAGAGTCTAATAATTTCAAAATACTGTCGTTCAGCGATTCCGATTACCTAAAACATGTGGAAAATGCAATTATTTACGGAATGCCAGTATTGTTTCAAGATATAGAATATATTGATCCAATAATTGAAAATGTTCTAGAAAAAAATATAAAAAGTTATTATACAATATGCATACCTATACTAATATTTAAAAATCTTTATATAATTGAAATATAAATTTACTTAGATGTTTCTGGTCGAAAGTTTGTTATTTTGGGAGATAAAGAAGTCGATTATGATCCGAAATTTCGACTTTATCTGACTACGAATATAGCAAATCCGTCTTTTAATCCAACCATTTATACAAAAGCAACGGTCATAAATTGTTTAATAACACAAAACGTACTTTTAATTTATTATTATTATTATTATTGTTATTATTATTATTATATTTTTAGATTAATGTATTATAGTCTATATGCATTGATACTATTATTGTAACACATATTTCATTTAGGGGCTTGAAGATCAATTATTGGGTATGGTAGTTAAAAACGAAAGACCCGATTTGGAAGAACAAAGAGAGTTTTTGGTAATGGAAACTAGCTCGAATAAAAATTTATTAAAAAATCTGGAAAATTCGCTCCTTCGTGAATTAGCCAACTCTACGGGAAACATACTAGATAATAGTGAACTTGTTGAAACACTGGAAGAAACCAAATCCAAAGCAAGCGAAGTCATGTTGAAATTAAACTTGGCTGCCAAAACTTCTGTAGAACTCGACGTGCTTCGAAACAAATTCCGCCCAGCGGCCACTAGAGGAGCTATATTATTCTTCGTACTGGCGGATATGAGCACGATTGACGCTATGTATCAGAATTCACTTTCTAGTTACGAACAAGTGTTTGCGATGTCTTTGAAAAAAGCAATGACAGATATGATATTAATAAAACGATTAAAAAATATAGTCAATACGTTTACAGAGAATTTGTACAAATATGGATGTACAGGTAAAAGTTCTTAATGAATATATAGATGTGTTAATAACTCTTTATTTATTCTTAGTACAAATTAAAATTCGTGATAATCTATAAATAGGTATTTTTGAAAGACATAAACTGTTATTCTCTTTCCAAATCACTTTAAAACTTGAAATGAGTATAAATAATGTATCGAAATCCGAGGTAGATTTTTTCATCAAAGGAAACCTTACATTTGATACAAATGCGGAATACATTAATCCTATTGACTGGTTGTCACCGCAAAACTGGAAAGATATTGTAAAATTGACTAAAGATTTTCCAGAAGTATTCTCAGACCTGGACAAACACGTCATAGATAATACTACCGATTGGCAAAAGTGGTATGATCTAGAAATGCCAGAATCTTCGGATCCACCTTTTACGATTCCTGATACATTTAACCCGTTTCATAAACTCATGTTATTGCGATGTTTTCGAGTCGACCGTACATACCAAGCTATCACTAATTATATAGCTTTAGTGATGGGTGACATGTATATCACCACACCTATTATTGATTTTGACAGCATATACACACAAACAAAACCCACAATTCCAGGATTATTCATTTTGAGTCCCGGATCCGATCCTACTGTGGATCTAATGAAATTAGGTATTCGATGTGGAATCTCGTCAAATATGTTTAAGTTTTTATCATTGGGACAGGGGCAAGAACAAGTATTTCGAAACTAAAATATCATTATCAATTTACATATAATATGAATATTACCCACTCTTACAGGTAGCGCTTAAGTTATTAAATTCAGCAATGACTAACGGTCATTGGATAATGTTTCAAAATTGTCATCTATTGATATCTTTTCTATATGATCTCGAGAAAGTATTAGATAGAACAAATCAAATTCATCCAGATTTTAGACTATGGATAGCAACCGAAGCAACCCCTTCATTTCCCGTAGCAATAATACAAAGATCTTTAAAAGGTACATATCTAAATATGATTTATTATAAAAAAACATCTCGATTATTGTATAACTATACTTACATTTTTAGTGGTAACCGAGGCACCAAATGGACTAAAATTAAATATTAAAAACACTTATGTTAAATTAAAACAAGAAACTTTAGATGAATGTAGCCACCCAGCATACAAATCTTTAATTTATGTGCTTTCTTTTTTTCACGCAGTTGTTCAAGTAATAAATATTATATAATAATACAAATTATTAAAATGGTTAATACTGGTAAATATATAAAGTAAATAAATATATAAATAAAATAAATAAATGAATGAATGCGTCGCCAAGAGTATTATAAGTGTATTATACGACCGATTTCGAATTAAAAATTGGTATATCACAGTCAAAATGGCGACACATTCATTCATTTATTTATTTTATTTTTATACATACACTTTTAATTTGTGTATTTATTTACTTTAAATATTAATTTTTATATCCTATTTATTATTTTTATTATATGTTTAATAATTTAGGAAAGAAGAAAATACGACAAAATTGGCTGGAATATTTCTTATGACTTTGGAGAAACTGATTTTACAGTTTGTGTGCAAATACTGACAAATTACTTAACTAAAACTAAGGCTGAAGGAGTAGAAGCTAAAATACCGTGGGACACGTTAAGATATTTGATCGGGAAAGTCATGTACGGTGGACGTGTAATTGATAGTTACGATCAGAGAATTGTAAATACATTTATGGAAGAATATTTTGGAGAATTCATGGTCGACGAGTTTCAAAAATTTTATTTCTATCACGACGAAACGGTCAGTTACATTTTACCAGATGACGGCGAAAAAGAAGATTACTTAAGTATGTATTATTAAAATGTAATATAGATACGTATTTTATTTTTGTTCAAACTTAAAGCTATGACACACATAACCTACTTTTAGATATAATCGAAGAACTACCTTTGAACAACGGTCCCGGTGTACTTGGTTTACATTCTAACGCAGAAGTTGGCTATTTTACGAAAGCAGCAAAAGACATATGGTACAATCTAGTTAAATTACAACCACAAACTGGTACCTAAGTTGATCATTTAAATATATTTAGCAATATACCAAATGCATAATGTATTATCTGAACATATATTTATGTATCTTAAGAATCGAATAGTTCTGGGATAAGTCGCGACGAATTTATTAATTCTATAGCTGAAGATATTTTACAAAAAGTACCTAGTTTATTCGTCATCAGTAATGTCAAACAGTTTTACGAAAAGAATTTTACACCTAGTACTGTTGTGTTACTACAGGAGTTGGAAAGATTCAATTTGCTCATTGATAAAATTAGTTTTACTTTAACGATGCTTCAAAAAGTACAGTTTCCCTAATGATAATAAATATTATTCTTATGTTAAATTGAAAAAAAAAACTAAAATTAAAATTAGACTTACCTATTAGGCTTTATTGGGTGAAATTGGAATGGACGCTATTTTAGAAGACGTGTCTTTATCGCTGTACAATGGTCAAATACCGCAGGTCTGGATGAAATTGGCACCACAAACATGTAAAAGTCTCGGTGGGTTTATAGATCATTTTGTTGCCAGGACCAAACAATACGAACAGTGGGTACGATATTATAGTTTTACTTTTTTTTTTAAATATGAAAATAAAATTGATACAACTAAATGAATAAATGAATATTACAGAGCGGTATAGAAGAACCTCAAGTCATGTGGTTGGCTGGTCTTCATGTACCTGAGTCATATTTAACGGCTATTGTGCAGATAGCTTGTAGGAAAAACGGATGGTCATTGGATAATTCTACTCTATATACGTCAGTCACACAATATAAAAATGAAAATGATATAAAAATGGACAATCAAGAAACTGTAACGGTAATGGTAAACCACCAAGGGTCCTAAATTTGTGACCCATACAATCTCAAATAATACTTGTGATTTTTATAAATCAGCAAATAATTTGATGATGAGGACAGCCAGGGTATGCAAGGTGGGAGATCGGGTAGGGTGGAAGTTTAGAACAAGGGAGGCGGATTTCAAATAGTTGGGATGAAAGCCAAGGAGAAGATTTAATTCTCTTCAGAAAGTATTATTGATCCTGTGATACAGAATTAATATACTACCTATTTTATTAATTTAGCCATGGGAACAACCAAATATTGCATTATAATACACATTTTGATTATAACTACTTAAAAATACAAATATAACAATGCGTAGTATCAATGAAGAGGATCATGGTCAATGGGGTTCCTACCTCATGGATTCTACTCTATAAACACTCTGTTGACTAGCCACTGTAAATCTACAAAATAATACAAATTATTTATAATAGGTCCGAGGTCGTCAATGATAAAATATAAAAATGTATATAATTAAGAAGGTACTAACAGGTACTGTCATAATATCAGTGAAAATAAAGATCATAAGATAAGTACCTACCCTTTTTATCAGAGTAATACTTTATACTAATAACTGATATTTCAATGTAATATGTTAAATATAAATCGTACATTAACAGGTGTTTGTTTGGAGTGTACATTGAATAGGTTTTACAATCAGACTATGTTAATATTATTTATTGATATCAACTCGGCCCTACTCTATGATGTTATACTGTTTCAACTATGTTATTAATTATAATACTATTACATGATTAATCTATATATAAAACCAATTGTCGTGATTATAATGAATAATATATAACCATGACCTAGCCTCTTTAATCGTCTAATAAAATTTTAATTAATGCATTCACTTTTGCAGGGCTGCTTTATAAGTGGAATATATATTGAAGGAGCACGTTGGGACTTGGAAAACCAATGTTTAGCTACCTCGAAATCAAAAATATTAATAGAAGACCTTCCAATAATCTCAATTTTACCAATTGAATCCAACAAACTTAAATTACTGGTATTGTATATATATTTTATTATATATGTATTGTATTTATATTAAAACAATATAATTATACCTTTTTTAAATTACATTATAATTTGATTATGAGTCACAGCTATAAAATATATTTTCAGAATACCATTCGTACTCCAGTCTATACTACATCTCTACGAAGAAATGCGATGGGCATAGGATTAGTATTTGAAGCGGATTTAAAAACTAATGTCCATAACAGTTTTTGGATTCTACAGGGTGTATGTTTAATATTAAATTGTGATTGATCAATACAAAATTAAAAAATGATTGTTTTAATTAAATATCATTGTTCATTATTAGGTATAGATGTGTATAGGTGTGTATACAGCCTATAGGACTATTTTTGTTATAATATAACATAATTATATGTTCAATAGTATTATTTATTATCTTCATATGAATAAATATTCATAAGGATCTGTGGGTCTCAATCCATAATCTCCCTCCTTAATGATTACCCTTTGAAACTATAGAATATTTTATATTGGCTATCTAGGAATACAATATTAATGGATTCACAAAATGGGTAGGTATAAAATTAATATAATGACACACAGTGATAATTCAAAACTATATAATCAATATTATAATTATGTTGATATATTGTATAATAATATGTGTATTTATTGTATACATAATAATGTTCTATGACAAGAAAAAAAATCACAAGATTATCAAAATAATAATTCCGTGGATTATATTTGAATAGTGCAAAACTAAGTTTGAAAATGACTAAAAAGCTAAAAAAAAAATTAAGTCTTAAGCTCATATTAACATTTTAATAAAATGGGGAAAAAAATAAATTAGGGTACTGTTTATATTTAAATTAAAGGCTAGCAACTTCTACTTCAACAGCAGTAAAATGCAGTTATAATTTATGTTTTTCTTTTAATATAAATATAAAATACTTCATAGTAGAAATTAAATTAAATAAGATCAAATCAGATAACTAATAAGGAAAACTCATAATTGCATTATTTTAATCTCAGTAGCAACTATAAGTTTTAAAAAAAAAAAATATGTACAGACATTAAATTATAATAATAGTTAAATAATAAAAAGAGCACCACATAATGTACACAAATAAAAATGACTAGGTTTTTTGGTAATGAATATTTCTTAAAAGTAATCGAAAAACCATTAGTTTGTCTCAAATAATTTCCTAAGGTAAAATTTATTTTTTGAACAATATCATTTTTAATATTATGTTTATATATTTAAAATATAATGTGTGGATAAAAAAATAGTCCCAATTTTCTAAAACAAATTTCTAGTTACACAATTTAATACTGTAAAATAACATTGTCAAATTCAAATTTACCTGTCTGTTTTTAATATAAAAACTAAAATATGAACTTATTAAGCTGTAATTTGCACAATTTATATTTTGAATTTAAATATTAATAACTATTTCAGTCTTTTGAACTAATACATACTAACTAGAAATTGTATATAAAAAGACAGGAAGAAAACAATTATCATGTGTTTATTTTTAAAATTGGCAAATATTATATTTGAAAAAAACAAAATTATATATTTTGTTGTAAAACTATTAATCTGGCCAGAGGAATTTGACATTTTTATTTTAGAATTTATCTTATCTATTATTATATAGGTCCAGTTATATATATTACTAATATGAAATATGTTGGAAGAATAGGAACTTGATTAAATAATGTGTTTATATGAGTTGCTTTTTTTATGTTATATCTTATATATGAGTAAGTATCAATTATGTATAAATTTTAATACATACATTAAAAAGAGATCTTGAAATGTAGAACTAATTTTTAGTCGTAAATAAATATATAAACAAAAATAAGTTGATTACTCATTCCTAGTCAGTAAAATTTCTTCTTTTTTTATGAAATATTTATAGATCAGGTTAAAACCTTAGAATACTTTTATCACAGCCTTTAGGGGTTGTTGACAATATTTTAATAAATTAATGTATTATTCTAAATAATTAAACAAATGAACACAAAATACAAAGCTGTTTTAGGCGTGAAAAATAAAACTATATAGGTCACACAATAAACTAATGTGATATAATAATATATTTAAATTTAGGCTTGAATCTAATAAATAAATTAGCTAATATTTTAATAAAAATATGAATACATTTGTATGATTAATTATTTAAGTGATTATCAATAAAATATGTTTATATATATTTTTTTATTATCATATTTATGGTAGTTTGATTCAAGATTTCATATAATAAAATATTATCATTAATTTATAAATAGTTGATTATATTTTATTTAATGTTTGTCTGAAATATAACCACGAATATGAAAAATTAAAAAAATAAATAGTAAATGTTGAATTAAATGAAATATATTAAAAATTTAAGTATGAAAATAAGTCAAAATAAAATTTGGTCATTCTTGAATTTAAATGGCAAGTTTAAACTAAAAATTTATTTTAATTTAAAAATAAAACAAAATGTTATACCATAATATGAAGTGATGGACATCACAGAAAATTATTAATGATTAAATAGTTAAGTAGTACCTATTCAATAATGCCCATCACTAATTTCTAATATTATGGTCATGTCAAAATAATATAACTATATTAAGATTCAAAAGCCCAACTTATGCACAATTTGAAGTTTAATGACTTGCTCAACCGAGTAGAAAATAATCTAATAATACCTTCATTAAATATTCATATATAATTTATAGTTTTAAAATATATTATTTTAATCTCTTGCAAGCTCGGTAGGTTTGAAAAGTTGGTATCTGCGGCATCTGAAAAACAAATTAATTGAGACATGGATAATTAAATATATTATTTGAAAATACCTTGCATTATTTTCAACAAGTGTTTGAACATCTGCTGCATACATGCTTGGAGGTGGGATCAATGTTGGAGATGAAAGAATATCAATCTCATAATTTCGCTCAAGACTTCTACTCGATGGGTTAGAAATGGGCCTGTAATTTGAAAAATATCCAGTATTGTCATCTTGACTACCTGATAATCTGTAATTTCAGTTATCTTTATTAAATATATTATAATTAGAAACCAAGAAATTCAATTTTTTCCAGAAGTAGACTTTGTTATACAATGATTCCACAGTCTTTGAATTAAAAAGGTATTACGAATTTTACTGAAAATTAATAAATTATTTATCTAATTTTATACAATTTGTATTTCAAGTTTATTGTATTTTCCACAGTTTAGATAAAGATACTTTATAATCAAAAAATTGAAAATTATTTTATTAACTAAATTTGAAATTAAAACAAATTTATTTACCTAGATCGATAATATGTTTCTCTTGACCTTCGCATTTGTGGTCTTTGAAATCTTAAATTCAATTGTGATGGATCAGTAACATATTTATCTTGAACTTGCCGCCTTCTTCTCAGACCAGGTGTATACTGTTCATCTATGTCGTCAGAAGTAGATTTATTGTGTACTTCTGTGAGTAAATGTTGACCACGGTCTTTTACAAGTTCATCACTAAAAAAATAAAATAAATCTTATAATTATTTTGAAAAAACCATTAATATAAGTGTTAACCTGAATGCTACAGTATTAATTTCATTTGATTCTGATAATTTTGAATTGACTGGTAGTGGAATTTTACTATTTTTGTTTAAAATAATGGGCTGTGGTGGTTTTTTACTTCTGAAACAATATATAATTTGTAATTGTAACTGTTTTGTTGGTTAAATAAAAGTATTCAAATACTTGAAAGCATTACTTTCACTGAAAAATTATTTAATTTCAACTTTCAATATAACTCATAGTTACCTGCTATGATCTGAAGTTTTGTTATTTTGATCAGAAGTGGAAAATGATTTCAGGCTTAAATCAGATAATTTATTACTATCATCAAAATGTTTACCACTCATAACATCATTTTTCCTAACCCATTTTCGGTGAGCTGTGTACAAAAGAAACATATTTTTAGTTTGTATATTATAGTCTAAATATTAAATTAATTTTATAACAGGTTAATACTTAATAATGTTTATTATAACATAATTATTAACTAATGAAGTCTGCAATTTTGCCCAGGTTATAATGGTTTTAAAACAAATTATAAAACATGTTTAATTGAATGTTAATTTAAAAATACAAACTGATAAAATACAACATATTATTAGCTCCATGCATTAATTGGTGTTAAGTATTTGTTATCTATGTTAGAACAGACCTTCATCATTTTCGTCGAAACACAAAATTGGTTTTGAGTCTGGCATGTCACAGTATTTACAATCTAGATTACGATCAACAACTCTAATTTCCAATTTCCCTGATACAGTCTCCATTGGACAATTCTCAGATACATCATTTCCTAAGTATGTCGTAATTTTACACCATATTAAATTTACAGAAGATTGAGTTTATTATTAGGCCAAACAAAAAGGCTTATAGTCCTAATTTTTAATAATAATTTAGATGGTTTAAGAAATAATGTAACCATTAACCATTTAGTCGAATACAGGAAAAATGTAAAAAATAAATTTTAATTAAATAATATAATATAATGTAATTTAATAAATATACTATGGATGGGGCAATTAGTGTCATAGAGGTGAATTTTCAGTCTTTTCTTATTTTGTGTAATAACAAATAAACTAATAATGATAAGATTAATTTCAATAAGTCTTAGGAAATGTATATCATATAATATGATTTTTTTTTTTTTGTCAGTTGATAATGTAATATTACACTTATCATTCGTCAATTTTTCACCACTTGACAAATTCGAAAATCGTAAATAAAATAAATACAAGGTTTCAATTTAATTTTTAAAGCTCCTTAAATATATTTTGAATTGAATAATATTTGCTTTGTATAAATGTTATTGATGTTTATATTTTTTAACAAATCTAAAACAAACAAAAAATTAATTAATTTTGGGGTAATTATGGCCAGTATATATTATTAGTAGGTTCCTAACTTAGGTAATATATATATATTTATTTTTGTTTGTTTGTTTGCCTTTAAATGTGTAGGTTTATATAGAAACATGACTTTAAAAGTATTACCTACCTATTAAATGTTCAAAAATTGTATTATTTATTCAGATAGTTAAATTTATTAAAAAAAAATAAAATATTTTTATATTAAGGAATGTTCTTTAAAAAGTCTTTTGTATTTATTTATATTGTTACAGGAAAGTACTAATTGGTTATTATTAATTAAGTGACTTGTTTTTATAGTTGTATTTTAAATTAAGTTTCTTTTCATTTTCATTCTTTATATTATTTGTTATCTATATAAACTATTTCCACTGAATAATACATTTTATAGGTATAATTAGTTAACATTTGTAGACAAAGTACTTTATTGATCTAATTCACTCAAGAGACACTGAGATAAATTTTATACAGCAAAAGCATTAAATGATTCTATCTCCCCCCCTCCCTGTATTTGGTATGTAATACTTAACAAAATGTTTGTTCATTGTAAAATTAATAATTTCTCATAAAGAAATACATTGTATATTAGCCTTAGATCATACACAATGGATAGAGCCACAGTGTATAGATTACACATAATATCAATAATGCACATGTACATGGCCAGGTGAGTAGTCTCTAGTGTGCATGTGTGCCAAAGACTAGTCTCATATTTATCTCAAATGATCAACATATTACATAGATTTTATGCCAATTCAATGAATTAAAATATATATTACCAAATTAACTAATAAAGCATTGGGATAAATACAGGACTAGTTGCTGGCACGCATGCACACTAAAAGCTACTTACCTGGCCACTCATCACTAACATCTACATCACAATATTGAACTATGGCTCAATCTGTTGAACATGATCTAAGATATTAGCTAACACAATAAGCATTTATTTCACTGACTTTATTCACCTTAGGAACAGTGCAAATAAATGTATAAAACCAAATAATCAAGTGAATTCCCATTCACCCTATATTGGGTATGAGTATGATGAATTTTTTGAAAAATATATTTTAAAAAACTATCAGTGAATATGCTTTTATGCAGTAATTAATATCCAATCTTACCTTTGATTAAAAAAAAAAATTTATCTTAAAAATTCTAAGAGATATTAGCAAAAAACCTCTGAAATTGATACTGATTGTCCCAATCAACCCTTATTAGTCAAGTCTATACCTACAAAATAATTAGAAGATTGTTTTTTTTTTTTTATTATTGGAGTTTTTTGCTTTCATAGTTTTTTCCACTTTCACTCATTTAATATGCTTAAATATACAATAACAAATATGTTAAACATCCTAAATTTAAAAGGAGGGAGAGATAACAAATAAATAGTATTATATTTAAAAATAATAATTTGAAGTAAACAATTTTTTTTATCATAATTTGAATTTTCAGTTTTGTTGTATTTTAAAAAATGTATAATATTTTTAATTCTGAAACTAAACTAATAAGTTTAATACCAAAATGGGATAATTACATTACAAACATTATGACTTCAGAAGTTGCATTAAAATTTTATAATATGTGAATTTTTTTTTTTAACAAAATAAATAAAATGTGAAGACGTGTTTAGCACGTACTAACCATTTTTAAGCGAGTCATCGGCTAATAATTTTCCCGATAGTTCATCAACATCATTGGATGATTTGGTAATGTTAGTAGAAACTTTGGAGTTCATTTTTGTTTGGCGTATGAATTGAATTTGAAATTCTTTTTTAGGAATAATGCTCAAACTAATATTCTATAAACCACAAACCAATACAAACTTTATTATTTTTCACTATAACATCAAACTTTGCAAACAATACTAAAGAAACATACGGCTAAACTTATTGACTTGTATAATTTTTTAGTAATATTTTTTTCAGAGTTCCGAACAGCTATATTTCGACTAGTGTCCAATTTATAAACAATATTGTCAAAGACTGCTTCTTGTAGCCAAGGAGGTTCCAGGTTTGTTCTATTTAAAAACAATGCACATTTTATTATAAATCTAAAGAGCAAAGGCTGATTTAAATAAACAATTATTTATTTATTTTTACCTTATTTTAGAAGAAATCTGTATTTCACTCCACGCCCGTGACAGAACTGAATTATTTAATAGATTATCATTACATTTTGAAAAGTATTGAATTAAATTATCTCTTCGAATTATTTTATCTGGTGTTTTACATAAATTATTAAGGTAATGCAGAGAATTGTTCTCTTTTCCACTCTTTAATTATACAAATATATAATTAATAACAATTAAATTACTCTTAATGTTTTAAAAATGTATACATACCAATGAAGTAGCACAATGCATACTTAATTTATGTTCTGGACTTTCAGCTTTCCATTCATTATCTGTTTCTTCAGAATCGTCAAATTGTGATTTCCATTGTGACATCATAGTTAAACCTTTAAAAAATTGTTTTTATTTTAAACTTAGAAATATATGTTTAAAAATTAATGTAAAATACCTCCTCCCCCTCGAGTGACTTGTTGCATTGCTGATAAATTATCATCATCAATTAAGGCAAATTGGGTGTAGGTCAGATCTCTGTTTGTAGTAGAAGATTTTAACATTTGTCTATTTGGTGTAGCCTGGCGTCTGGCAAAATGTAGGTTTCGTTGTTCTTTTTTTATTTGACTAATAACATTATCAGTTTCAACCATAGGAGAATTGCCTAGTAAAATTGTAAATAATGAACAATATAATATTTAATATTCTACCTTTTTGTAACTAGTTTTTTTCAATTAATTGTTTACTTTTAATTGCATCTTGTGCTGTTATCACTGAAGATGAATTGTTCAAATTACCAACATCTATGCTAGGACTGTCAGCAATATTCAAAGGAGAAACAATAACTGATTCCATGGTGCAGTTAGTTTGAGATGAATTGCGTTTAGAGGCTTCTAAAATATCTGTTTCTCTCTCTAATCCAGGCATCGAAACAGCTCTTCGTTGAATTACTTTTTTAGGTGAACCTAACAAATAGCAAATAGAAATAGAATTTAAGTTATAAAAATATAATATTTTCAATTAAATAACTGTACTTTTGGGAACTGGTAAATTGTCCAATGGTGTACTACACAAGGCATTAGGATTTTTATCAGTAGAAATATTTTTATTCAAACCAGAATTATTCAAATCGGATTCAAGTTTTTGAGTTCGGCGGTAAATTATATTCTCACATGGTAATTTCTCCTGAGCAAAATAATACAATTATTATTAATTATTAAATAACCAGTTTTTAATTAAATATTTAAATTATCAAGTACTTCTGGAGTATTTTTATTATCTAGTCCTGGATCATTTTCTATTGCAGAGGTGATAAGCTGATTGTTAATTTCAATACCATATGATGTGCAAGTTATAGGTCTGGATATAACTTGAGTGGAATTATTTGTAATAACACTCAGAGTTACTGCTGGTGAAATAGTTTCGGGCTTTTCCCAATCAAAAGGATCAGAATCTTTTACTCCTCGCCTTTTCATACAGCGTTCAAATAAACTACTTAACAAATTATAATCTGGTTTATCTGCATATTCAAGGGTCTAATTTTACAAACAAACAAAATTAAAAACAGTATATTAAATATATTAGTTATTATTAAATACATTAGTTTTGCATAGTTTCAAGATAGGTACCTGGATGTGTTCAAGAAATTGGCGCAGATCTGATGGCAAATGTTTTAAAAATGACCTATGATCATAATTTTCTTTCATAACTCCAACTTGTTCTTTGTCTTTAATTTTTCGCCAAGGCAGTTGGCCATTGACAAACTCAGCTAACATATAAAACAATGACCAAAGATCATCGTGTCTCCCCATTTCCTAGATATATTGCATTGTTATTTTAAAACCATAATGTTAATAATAATATTAAAATCTAAAACTAAAACTACTAATCAAAATCAAAATTAATTGTATAGTTAAATTTATTCTCTTAAGTACCAACTCTCTATATTTTGGATCTAATAAATAAAAAGAACTTACACAGGTATGTCCTAAAGTAAAATAATTTTGTTATTTATGTAATTATATGAGTAGAACAATATATCTATAATAGAAATAAAAAAATCTCTTACCAAACAAGCGCATTATTATTAAAACCAGAAAGTCAATTGTTAAAACTTTTGTTTAGAGTGTACTATAAAGAAGTGAGTATTGAACTACACTAGATCCAAGGAAAATTATGAAGATAAGCTGGACCAAAATCATAACTAATGTAGATTTTAAATATAGTACAAGTGCAAAGACAAATTATCAAAATGATTTAACAAAAACAAAATCTATTGGAAAATGGACACATTTTTAATCTGTGTCTAAATAACGTGTCCATTTTCCAATAGACACAGATTTATTTTTGATTTTATTATAGGCCTGGTCAGTTGACAAATTTTTTACCAAAAATCTTACTCTAATTAACTTCAAATATGGTTTCTGGAAACAAATTTTATCTAGTTGATGCATTTGGTCATTTTAAATGAAGAAAATCAGAAAATTTACATCATAATAGTTTCTGTTATTTTCAAATTAATTATTTTGTTGTGAATAGATCAAAAATAATAGAGATCTAACATTTTCACTGAATACTTATAATACTAGCCATTTCTAGACTTGTTAATTTTTTTTTTTATTGTGGTTGTTACACATTTTTAATTTATTCTGGCAATTTAAAATTTTTTTTTTTTTTTAATAAGCATTTTAAGTTGAAATATTGATGTTTACATGGTTTTTGTTTGCAATAATTTTTTTTTGAGTACAGATATAAATTCTATGGGTATGTTAAGAACCTTTGACAATTATTAAAATATTGGCAAGTTAGACAGATTAATGAAAATAAATAATCAACCATCAAAATAACATATTGTATTAAATATCAGTACTTGCCATAATTTAATAATAAAAACCAATACAGCAATATTATTATCTCACTTTATAAAAAACAGTACCTACTAGTACTACTAGTATACTAGTTATTGTGCTGTGTTTAGTGTGATATCTAGTATACTAGATTTTATGTCTGATGGGAATAGTAGAATAGTATACTGATTAAAGGAGTCACACTAGTCAGCATACTATAAAAAATAGTTTTAATAATAGAACAAATACTATTTTCCACATGGTTCTCAACAACTGCGACTCAGCAATAACGCATCTTGTGATATTTTTTTATTAGTTTCCAAAACTAGCGAATAATGTGCAGTAAAATTCCTATAGGGATGTTTTTTTTATATATATAATAAAAATACATCTGCTCATACAAAACAGTGGTACACAAAATAAACATACCCAGTTGATTTTACTATTTGTTTGAAAACGGGAGCATTTTATTTTCAACCCTAGATTGAAAACTCCTGATTTGAGATAAAACTGCCATGGGGCACAGCAACAGTCTCAGTTGTGAAACACACTATAGTTACCAGCACATAAATAATTTGAACCAATCAGAATACAGACATTTTTTTAATACAGAATATAGGTGTTTTCTTGTCATTCTTCTTATCTTTGCTGCTAGTTTCTAGTACCTTTTATATTGTATCATACATTATGGTGTGAATCATAGACATAATAATAAATAAAAATTTAAAAATATTTTATCCATGGCTACCCCTAACTATCACTATCTTTCTCACTCAATAGCGTTTACCAACACCATAGATTAGAGATTCTAGTACACTAGATTGCACATAATATTTAACTAGCTAGTATGCTAGAGATAGCATAATAACTATTTTAATGTGTGAAACACCTTAAGATTAAATTCGAATGACATTAAAAATTAAAAACATACTATGTATGCAGTTAATTTTTGTACATATAGATTACTGTGTTAAACTGTTAATACTATATACTTTACACTAGCTTGGAGATAATTTACAATTTTAAAGGTAAATTCAAGTATTTTATTTTTATTTTTAATAGCTGTATATTTTTACCACAATGAATTGGTCAAAATACATTTTAACTTGTCAATATTTACTTAAGTAATAATAAACTTTGATTTATTGGTATTTTGTTCTTTTCGATATTTCGAATGTCAACATTTCAATCTGAATATATTTTATACTTTTAGACATTTCAATCTATTGACATTTTAACCAGATCTCAATTCTATTACTCTATATATTCTACCTTTCTAATATCTTTCCTACAACAGTGGCATACATAATATTAGCCTAGTTATGAGCAATATCCTTTATGTGAAGCATTGCAAGATGTACAAAACAACCAATATATACTGGCTTTTTGTTTTAAGTCAGGAAAAAAAAATGTATGTAAAACTAAAAATCAATTGTAAGTTTATAATGTAATACACAAAAAATTTTTACATACCTTATTTTTATGGGCATTCAAAGAAGCATACCGCACGGTTCCACGAAATCCTGCAGCAGTTCTTGGAGTTCTGACTTCTCCATTTGCTGTTGTGAACTGCCTAGCCAATCCATAATCCAACATGAATACACACCGAGAATTTTGATAAAGTCTTCCAATTGCAAAATTTGACTAAATAATTATTTTAAAAATATTTGAAATTGTGTATTTAATTGATAATTAAGTGGGTAATATAAAATCTTACAGGTTTAATGTCTCTATGTAAAAATCCGACTTCATGAATACTTTCTATAGCTTTTAAAATTTGAATTCCTAATCTTAACGTGGTAGATAAAGAAAATGCACCTCTTGGTTGAGATCTCCTTAGCTCGGCCAAATTTTTTCCTTGAAGCTGCATCACCACATAGTTGAAACGTTCATTTCGTCCACAACCAATAAATCGACATACATGCTCTTTACCTGAATTTAAATTATACAAATTATTATGCAGAAGACATATTTTAAAATCTCAAATACTAATATTTAAATTTATTCAAACTGAAGATGGACCAGTTCTGGTTCACAGTTATAAGGAACCCATGATTATCAGATCTAGCATAATCATTTATCAGTCTTCTTATTATATTTTTGTAGGATCAAACGTTTATTAATAATTTGTTTATATCAGTAAATATCAAATTTTAAATAATATTACTGTGATAACATTGATAACTTATTATAATCTATTTGTATATGGATTGTATAACACATGTTTGAAGATATAAGTTTGGTTTTTGCATAGATAATATAAGAATGGATAAGCCACTCCTATTCATATAATAAGAGGTAGTGTTCCAAAATGTGATTGTGAAACAGACTGCTAATAGTGCTCTCATTCACACAGCAAAGGGTTTATCATTAATATTATATTTCATAATGATAACAACTCAATCAACATATTTTTATTTGAATTTTGTATATCAAAACAATTTCAAGTAAATATTTCATCAATCAAATATGGTATAATGATTATCATATTTTTCAGAAAATTAGAAATATTAAAGATGATATAAAAGAAAATTGTACAAGGGCTAAATTAACGAAACATCAATTTCAGACATGAATAAATACAATTGAGTACCTACTATTATTATACCAAATTTTCATAAACCAGAGTTGTGATTTAAATATATATATATATTTTTTTAATAGCGTATTATGTAGGTACATAATTAAAAATTATAATTTAATTTGAATGTTTTTGTTAAAATAATAATACATATTAAATGATTATATATGATTATTAGAAAAATTGTTATGAACTATTGATTATTTTTGATCAAGTTTACAATTTTATTGATAGAACCCTTGTAACCATAAATATATTCGTACTCATGTGATATATTCTCTTGACCTATCCATTCTTATATTATCTAATAGTTTTTGAGTCCTTAAAATGTTTATTTTGATCCTATTTCTTAAAAATTTCAAGTGGGTAAAAAAATAATCTATCTCACTTTGTAAGTTAATTGGGTTTTTATTATTTACACACTAAAAATAGTTTGAACTGTTATCCGAAAACAGAATTTCTTAAATTGGACAAGAACAGGTACAAATGTCAAGGTTACTTTTCAACAAAATGTTTAAAAAAGTGGTTTAATTATTTTGTTTTTAAAAGCCTAGTAGGTTAGGTTAGGTTTGAACATTTATTCAAAGAGAAATTAATTATAAAGTTGTAGTAATAAAATATAAAAACTATTGTGTAGAGTTCTTGTGATTATTATAAAAAAAAAAATTATTATATTTGCTAAATAATTATACCCTATATAGGATGCTGGTTATTATTATAAGTATAGAAGTATAGAATATACAATATTAAATATAATTTATAATACACATATATTTATTGTTATTTCAGTTATAAGATTAATTATAACTTATATCAACATAAATTTATTATTAAAACCACGAACTAAGATATTTAAGTAAATCTTAATTCTGAATTTGTAATTAAAACATAGTAAGATCATTAAGATTTAGTATGTCAATAAAAATAAATGAAAAATGGTAAATTTATAATGATACTAAAAATAAGTAGTTTAATGGAATTAAATTTAAAAAAGATGGGCATACTTCGCACTTGAGCGCAGACACTATTGTAGGTGGGAAAATATGATACAGACGGAAATATAATGTATATCTATAAACCATTGCAAACCAAAAAAACGATTCTTGGGGTTGCTTTAATAACAATATATCAACGGTAGAAAGGAAAAAGGATGTAGGTGACATTTTATCAATATTACAGTAGAGCCAAAAAACGATTTTTTAAATTTTGAAGCCATTTAAAATATTATTTGTTTTCGCATGAACAAATTTTTTAGATATTAATATTGTAATTAAATTGATATCATATAAAATAGTATTCGTTAATTTTTTTTTTTTAACCTGATATGTTACTTTGAATACGTTTTTGGTACTTACGCTAAAATTTTTTTTTGGAATTATAAACGTATGGCACTTTATTTTAAACATCTATAGTAGTTACGCCCTATTTTTAATTTTGTGTCGCTTACTTGTCACTTACGCCTTAATTTGATAGATGGCACTTACGCCATTCAAACAGATTATTTTATTATAACTCTGTCAGTAACCAAAATATCAATAACCGGGTGAGCACAACTATATAAAATTATGTCGTTTACGGCATAGTGTAAAAAACCGATTTTCGTCAAAATAACACTTACGCCCTTTTTCATTTCTACCATCGACATATATATCATATTATGATAAAATGATTACAATGTGCGTTTACATGACAACAATAATTATTTAAAAAATATTAAAATAATAAAAACTTCATAACAAAAAATAAGTAAATAAAAATGGTCACTAATGACAACCAGTTTTTAACCTAAAACACCAGGTTTCCCTCATTATCTCGAATATTAATAAAAATTTCAAAAATGACCTCTCTAAAGTAACACCCAGAAAACATTTCCTTTTAGAAAAGGTACTATACTTGATAATTGGATTAAGCTTTTTGGTAGAAAAAGTGTTCACACAAAAAAAAAATAAACATCACTGTAAAACCAATACATTCCTCATTCCACTCAGAATCTAAAATAATACCTACACTTAGTTTTCAAATATATTTTATGATTGTACAAATGTAAAATGTAGATATACATAAAATGAAAAAATTAATCAAAATCAATATTTTACAAAAAAAATATACATATAGTACCTAAGTATTTAAAAAAAAATGACTTTTAATGACTTTAGTTGAGCACTAACAGCTCTAAGATATTTTTCAGGAACTGGCCTATCCCTAGCTCAAACCCCTTAGCTTACAATTTATATGAATTAATAACTACAAACATGAACAATTTACTGAAATCAGACACTTACCTTGTAATTTTTTCAACACTGCTACTTCCATTTTTAATACTTGTTTAGGTTGTCGAGCTGATTCTACTTTTAAAGCAATTAGCTCTTTTGTAACAAGATCTTGGCCTTCATAAATTTCACCAAAACCACCACCGCCGATTTTGCGAGCCTAAAGTTAAATAGATCAAATTATGATTTACCAATAGTAAAATTACTATTTTGTCAATAATATATTAAAATAGTTTTAAAGAAGTTGTTAACAAAAATAAACTATCTAAAATTGAAATAATATAGAATACAAATTTCATTAAGGATTTAAAATTTTGTAAAATAGACAAAAAAATTCTAGCACAGATCATAAATCAATTTAAGTAAAACACTTGATTTATTGTAAGTAACAATAATTAATAAAAAAAAAAAAACTTTAAAAATAATCTTTTGTGAAATAAAAATTTAGAGTTGAACATATAATTTATTTGAATAATATACTTATCTTAATTCAACACTAATGTTTATCATTCAAGAATTAATTTTGGTAAAGTAAAAATAATTTTGATACAATTTATAATAAGTATAATCATTTTTTTTTTTAATTTATGACCTTTTGTTTTTAATGAGAAGATAATAGCAATATACATTATATACATTACAAATATAATTTATTAATAACAAATGAAATTAATTTATAGTTGGAATTCTAAAAAAAAATATATATAAATAATAGTAACAACATTTAGAACAAAAAATAGTAGTCTACACTAGTCAAGACGGGACAATGTAAATTATAAATAGAAACATAAAAAAAAGTGGGAGAAAAATTATTCACTTACTACTTTCCACCTTTCTTTGACAATATGTCCTGGTTGTAATAAATCTTCGGAAGACATTTTTTATATATGTATACACAAACGTTCAAGATGGTTAGGTTACTAAGGTATGATTATTTGGTTTTTTTTTTTTTTTACCAATAATACTTGGTTATTACTGAAACAAATAAAAAAACAACAATTATTATTAACTATGAAAGCTTGAAAAGGTACCCAGTTTCATAATTTTAAAAATATAAAAAAGATCAATCTAAAATTGAACAAAACAAAAATTGTATAATCACAATACCTATAAAAGTTTATTAATAAATATTAATATTTGTATACTAATGTATGTCTCGACAACATGCCAAATTCATTTATATATTATAATAATTTCTATTCATTCGAAAAGGACCTGTAGTCAAAAGTATTTTGAAATTATAATAATTATGTAGATAACATTGTCTTTAAAAAAAAAAAAACCTTTAGGTACATACAATAGATTTGTATATTTTAAAAAAAATTTCAAAATATCTAGGTAAGTGTTATAGTTACAGGTATCAGAAAATTTCAATTTACAATAAGTTTACCTACATAAATCTAATATGGTGCCAATTATTTATAAACTTTATAGTTTTAACTTATTTGAAGGTTTGATTGAAGGAATAAAGGAGGATAATCTAAAATTAGATACCTAAGACATTTATAATACCTCGATCGTTCCACTATTTTAAACATTCAATTATTACTATTATAATTATTATCTATTTAACTGTATATTTGATAGTTCAATATACAATTTTGTTTTTACATGTCTAAATCAATATTTTTAGATAATTAATTTCCGATATACCTATACATAAATAGTGAGTTATAAATTTGTTAATAATAATATTCATTATGTATTTTAAAACTATGTAAATAATTTAATATATTTAACATATATATATATTGTGAAAATGTTATTCTTAATTATCTATATAAAAATAAATAAATTATAGTTAATTAGATTAACCCTTAATTATGGAGTCTGTCAAATTTGCAACACATAATTTGAATTTCAGTCTTAAAAAAAATTAGTATTAGTATTAATATTTTAAAATTCCATTATGTGGCCATCCTATGCTATCTATATTTTTGTAATAGTTGATACCAGGCAGTAAATAAATTAATGTAGACAAATGCACCAATAATCACAAGTTGCCATAGGTGGTGACTCACTTTAAATAGAAATAAGTTAGGTCTGGTAGATCACATGTCAGTTACTATGTTATACATTTACACTTCGGTAGTTGAGGTTATATTTGTTAAGATTAAATTTATCAAGAATTACAATTAAAGAAATTAAATCATTTCAAAATGCTACTTTACAATGAATTACCATTTACTGCTAGGTTAATAGGTCAACACTATACAGAGTGATAATTCTTTATATAACAGTTATAATCTAGGAAAGAAAGAAATTTTTCAAAATGTGTGCTATGTACAATACAATTTTTGCTATGTTTATTTACTCTTAGTGTCTTATTAAGAGTAATAACAAATAACGGCAATGTAATATTTCAGAACTGGTTGTTTCATAAATTTCCATATAAAAAAATTAAGCAATACTTTCAGAGATAATAAGTATTTTATGTGCCCCGTATAGCAAATGTATTATATTTCAATTCAACCATTAAATAAAATGATCATTTCAAAATATATGTATAAATATACATCTGCAATGCAATTATATAACTGGCCACAAATTGACTAACTATTTCAATCAATCAATTAGTTGCATTATTATTTATTTGTATCTCCTCCATCTTCATCATTAGGAAGAGAGGAACTCTTCCCAATTAATTTGTTTTATTTGTATTATTATTTTTTGCATGTTGTTAGTTGATAATTCAATATAAATTCATTTTAATGGACACTATACAATTTCCAATTATGAAAAATAAAAACAATAAACATATTGAGTCAAGTAAATGATGATAAATAATTTAATAAAGATTAATTTTTTATTACAATTTAATATATTACCAAGTATATTCCAATAATGGAATAACAGTAATTATAATTAATAACACAACATAATTTATTAGGGGATCATAAAATTAAAAGTAATTTTATGAATACATAATGACACATACCTATATAACAAAATTATGAAGTAATATGCCTCCAATTAGCTCGATAAAAATGTTTAATTTAACCTGAAAGTTCAAAAATAAATTGAAAATAAATGAAACACTTTAATAATATCACCTCAGATATCATTTACTCTTCAATAAAATGCTAAGTTATAAGGATAGATACCTAGTAAGTAACATTAATTTATTCCATCAACAAAACTATTGATGTTTTACAGTTTCATCATTCATGTCTTCAAGAATATTCTGATCTGAATGGGCTATTATGTATAATTTAAATAAATAATAAATTTTTAATGGTTATTTAAGAAAAATAATCTTGAAGTAGAAATGAAATTTTTTTAATAAGAAACTCAAAGGATATTTTTAAAATAGAAATCCCTCAATAGGTACTTATGTAATTTACACATACCTACTTTTTGGATAAACCTAACCTAACCTACCTCTGTTTTATGAAAGGTATTGTACGGTTAAATTAATAAAAAATAGGTAGGTACATATATAAATAAAAAAAGGTAAACATGTTATAAACTTAACTTAGTATTATTGTTTTGAATTTGAATGCATTCTAATATGATTTTAGTTCTTTGACTTCACCTTTTTTCCATATAAATGGAGTTACTAAGTACCTACCCTTATTATTTTTCTCTCCATCCCTATTACTCAATATACTCTACATTCAAATCTGAGTTCAATTCACATCCAACCATTTTTTTCTTTGACCTACTCAGCAACTTTCAAACTTCTATTTATACTTAACTTTACTACTTTCACCCATCTAAAAAAATCAACTGTACTTACTACAAAAATGACCATTAAGGTACCTAATTAAGCAAGAATAGAAACTAGAAAGTCTCATAGAAAGCCTTAAGTATAAACAGTCCTACCTATCATTAAAATGTTTTCACAAAACATAAATAGGTTATAAATCCAGTATTATCTATTTAATTTGAACGCCACAAAATAATGCTCACAATCCAAATTTCACAGATATAGTACACTATACCTAGCACAATACAATACAATAAATTAATAAGGTTATGTTCAATGACCATTAAGTGAACTTAACATTCCAAATTGAACAGTTTCTCTGTAATACATAGGTATGCACAAACGTTTTACGACATTCCAAATGTAAGTATATAAAACCTACCTAGTATTACAAACCTAAATTTCACAACTCAAGCTATGAATCATATACAGTCTGTTTATTAGTTAACCTGATTCATTGGAACAGGCGATTTAATAGAATATTTTCGGAACAACTGTCAATTGAATGAAAAAGCTACTCCCTTAGAAGATGGACAATAGTACCAATAGATAATAATAACAATTATTCATTAGGTGTCTTAAATATCTATGACAATAATAAATGTTTATCTATATGAGTATTTACACGGTTCAATCTTATATCAAATAAAATAATATACCTAAAGATTTAACAGTTTCGTCAAAATATGGAATATGTATATACCTACTATTATAAACCACATTTTAGTCAATTTTCCAAGTACAAACGACACCAAGAAGGATGAATAAAAGATATTTTCCTCCCAACAGTAAAATGTACGTAGTATCAAAATTAAAATCGTAATTAAAAATATTTCTAAAATACATACGTAGGTACATACAGATAAATTTTGTTAGGAATCCAAAATAATATGATACTACTTACCTACCTACATTGTAACGTGCCAAAATAGGTGATCTGTCATCTACACCTAGGTAACAATACGATGAAATTGATCAAGTTTCAAAATGAGCGTAGGTACCTAATACTGGATTACGAGAACGTTTGGAGGAAAAATGCCCGAATAGCACTGAAAACCTGGATATAAAAACATCCCTTAGGCCCAAAGATAGGTACTCATCAAAGTATGGATACTTACGCTGGCAGCTTTCAACAGCAGTGATCGACCTGCTGACAATACGTCCGTCCGGTGGTAACACAGTCATGTCAGGCGTATGCTGAGGCGGACAAACGCATTATACCTATTAGACGAGTTATACACTCGATGTTGTTTAGGTGACTATTATATTATCGTCGTATCATCGGCCAGCGGGCGGGCGTCAACTATTATTTTAATTCGTCGAGGACCGAACAATTTGCGGCGGCGGCGGCGACGGCGATCAATTGACGCGATCCGTATCGACGATCCGGGCATTCAGACGTAACGCTGAGTTGTGACTGTCGTACAGCACGCAGATCGGAACGCGCGACGTGCGTCGGTGGTCGTCGTTACGCGGTAGTACACGCGGCGGGTGTCGGATTGCACTCGTAAAGTGGTTCGTACTTTCTAAATGTAACGACGGCGGCGGCGGCAGAACGTACCGATACCGCGTTATGTTACCGAACGGCGGCGATAGACGGAAACCAGCGAATAGTGACTACCGGGTGCCCTACTGTCCGGGTCACAGGGGCCGATAAAATCACGTCGATACGGTGTTTACCGAAGTAGTGGTCGCGATCGGCGACGGCGGACGGCCGATAATAGACGAAAACGATTAGCGACGGCGGCCAATCTGCCGCGGTGGTGTTTAGAACTGATGGCGGCGGATCATTGATTAAATTTTACGGATTTCGGACAGGTTATCAAATGCACGCACGCGCCACACTCGCCCGATCGCATTGCGCACGCCCGCCTCATGCACGCCCTCGTTTGCCGTCAGCTGCTGGCCCAATTTTCTCTACGCGCTTAGCGAGCGGTCGCTGTATTACCTATGACCCGCGGATCGATTTTATTCATTCGGCTAGCCGTAATACTAGCCAGGAGTATTCCAGAATATTGAGACGGCGACACCCTTACCGATCATAACTTACGAGTGTCGCACGGTCGAAACGTTAAACTCGGATAACGGGTCGCGTGACAGACCGCCCGACCGCAATATTTTATTGTTATTAACGTTCTGGCATACAGGGTGTTCAATCCTCGATATAACACTCGTTGCCTACGAGACAGCAGTTCTAAAGCGGTTCATTACAGTTATATTTCGTCGCCTTTATTTTCGCGTTTGAAACCCAATAGGTAGGTACCTACTGAAACTTTCAACGTCAAGATAATATTATATTTGAACCGAAATTTCATTTATTTATGGGATTTTTAATACATGTCGCTATTTGAAAATCAAAAGTCGGCGGGGGAAGGGGATCTTAGAACCGCCCGTCTCGCGAAATGTCCACAAGAATAAAAACGTTCCGGAAAAATGTAATACTTTCCGAGATACAGCGTGTCTTGTCCCACAGGGCTGATCACGCTGTATAATAGTTACACGTCCCGGACGTCTCGTCTATATACGATCGGCGACATTATTACAGCGCTAAACAACAATAATATACGGCCGATTTTACTGCCAGCTTGTTCGCTTTGTCCGAAATAACAACTGCAATACTTACACGTAATCATAGATAGGTATACGCGCGAGTCGACTAAATTCTTACACGGTATTCTTAGTCACAATTTATTACGCGGACAATCGCGACAATGGCCTGCAGTAGCGCCGTGAAATAATATCCTACGAAGCGAACCGCTTTTACGCAACCGGACCACACGGGTGGGCCGCAGTGACGTAACCAGAGGGGGGGGGGGCAGGATTGCACCCTCCCCATCAATCGTATTATTTATTATTTTTAAATAATTTTCACCGTAATCGTTTCATGTTTATATTCATTTACCCAGTCTACAATGTGTATAATTAACCGTGACCATACGTCCCGCTTTCGGTGGGACAGTCCCATTTTTGAGCTATGTGTCCCACCGTCCCCAAAAACGAAAAAGTGTCCCGCTATGGAAAAAAAGGTCTATCGATAAAGGACACGTGTTTATTGATCGCAGCACAAAAAAGAAAACATGGCTATCGAAACATAAAGCACAGTAACTAACATTTTGCAAATTATGCAGTAAAGCCATTTTAGTAATTTGTCTAACGCGGATCGTTTATTGCAATTGCAAAGATTAATTCTAAAAGTAATACAAATATTTCGATTAAAAGTGTGTAATATCAAAAAATCGGCGCAATTTAATTTTATTAAGAATTCATAACTAAAGATGAAAAATTATAAAAATGTTGGTTACAGTAAGTTTATGTTTTATGATTCAACAGTCCAATACAATAGGTTGGTAGGTGGGTATACGTGCCAGCCACGTATCTGCTCGTCCGAAAAATAAAGAAATCAACTGCCCGCTAAGCAATTAGTTCCATTGTCTGACTTTTAATAAAGCCAAAAAACCATTATTTCATTTATTTTTTAATAATTTGTTTGAATGACTGTATTTTACATTATCATCTTTACTGTTGTACTGTGCGATAAATAATACAAATTACTGTGCTTTTCTTTTCAAAATATACAAGCGTCCCGTTCTACGGGGAAAACATTATGTTATCGGATCGCGAGCGTAGCGAGAAGTGTATTAATGGGGTCCGTGAATAACATTCTCTTATCGGAAATCTCGTTCCAATCGAAAACCGACAGGAGATAGTTTTTGTACGGTTTGGCGAGTTGGACAGTGCGTATTGACAATGTCATTTTAGATTCTGAGTGGAGCAAAGAAGCGTATGGGTTTTTTCGTTCTTTCTTGTAACTGTCTTCATATTATATCGATTGGTTGGGAAGGAGGATGGAAAAAAAAATACGGGAGGCCATACATTTACGAACTTATATCTTTGCTAAGGCTAACACGATCATAGTTCTACAAAATCGTATAGTTCGGGAGCCGCCGATCGGGACGCAATACGTAATAATATTGCGCAACGCGATTTTTACCTCCGTCTATAGTAATATATCGTATAATAACCAGCGTACCGCGACGATTGTGATCGGGTTACGATTTTACGTCGAATTACGAAAATGTCTGACTTCGAGCGTCGATTTACCATTTTAGATTCCGGTAGAGAAGTCGATTAAAGATAAAAAAAAAAAAAAGTTCCCCGTTCAAAATTCCACGTGTATACACGTGTTATCGTAATAACGGTTGACCGAAGAAAGTAGAATTGAAAAAAAAAAATCGAAACGAAAAACGAGTGGAATGAGAATTCCTTAAAGAAAAAAAAAAAGAAAAAATAAAAATGTTCGTAAAAATAACACGCGAAATCCTACGGTCGAGAAAAATGACGGGGCCAACAGGTACATAGGTTTACGAACATAATATAGTAACGTGTGGACGCAGGAGTTATCTCGGAGACGAGTTTTACTACCTAGATTCAAAGGTTGCCGACTTTTTTTTACTCACGACACTCTAAAGTATTTTCTAAATACTGGGGACGGGTGCGGCCACTATTGTAGATGAAAAGTTGGGAAGGTTAGATTAACTATTGCTGACGAAAGACGATTCCGAGCACAGTTCGGTAATACACTAATTGTTAGTGTGTTAGTGACTAATACATAATTTGAAGTGCCGTAATTTTTTTTAACCGAACCTTCCTACGTTTTTTCCCGATTATTATGAAAACTAATTCGAAAATAAAAAAAAACGGCCTGCATCATTATAAACAAGATTAATAATTCAACAAAAAAGGTATCTTGTGATTTTTCGATTAAATCATTTTTTCTGGTAGAAAACGTCGTCCGTGTTTTTATGAAATGATGAAATCTTGAAATCTTACGTTTTCCTACGTTATTTCCCAATTAAGTTCTTTTATTTAAAGAATGGTGTCAAAAATCAAAAAAAAACCTTTTTAAAGTACAGTCTAGACAATTTGAACTATCAGAAAAAGTGCTACACTTATACATCGGAGTAAGTTTACTAGGAAAAACGTGTCCACAAACTAGAAGAAAGAATAAAAAAAAATAAACAGCATTGTAAAACCAATAGCTCCCTCGTTACGCTCAAAATCTAAAAGATACGAACATACTTAGCATGATGGGTGGGCCATTGTTTTAGGTGAGAAGTTGGGAAGGAAGAAGGGAACTTTAATATACGCAACAAACAACTATTGTTAACGAAAAACGATTCTGAACGGAGTTCGGTTGCATAGTGTTACTTAGTCATTCTGCCAACAACATATATTATGGTAAAAATAATAACATAATATATGCATATATTATATATTATATATATTTTTTAATAATATTTGTTTAATATTGTACCAATTTTTCCGTTTTTCCTATATGTTCTTTTCCCATGTTTTTTTCCCGGTTTTACCATTTATTATGAAAACAGCTGGGGTAATCAAATGATGACCACTTCAGTCAGATTTCCTTTCAGAAAAAGTGCTACAATTAAAAATTGGAGCGAAATTGCCGGTGGAAAAGTTGTTCACAGATAAAAAAAAACATCATTGTAAAATCAATACATTCCTCGTTTCGCTAAGAGTCTAAAATAATATGCCACTCGTGTCACGACAGTAAATATCTACGAACAATAATATGAATCGCTTACGATCTCCCGCCGCCGTAGCGCGTCGTCGTCGTTTTCGCAGATTCGTCCGTTTCGCGGTCATTCGAGAAATGTTCTTCCGTCATACTATTCTAACGTCGGCGAAAAATAAAAGATTTTTTTTTTGTTTAATGGTTTTTTTTTTTATTTACGTAAAAACGTGTGGTTTCGAATAAAACATGCGTCACGTATATTACGCGTAATATTAAAACGCATCTAGCGCTAAATACCTCCGTCATCGCACTTACGCTGACGTACCTACAAATAAAACGCGGCGAAGTGTTTTAAACAAGTCCCTAAATTATGATGTTTGAAACATTTTTTACATCATAATAATAATCGTTAAATTCTTTTTTAAACGTCCAAAAATTAAAATTAAATAACTAATAACACGCTTTGAAAAGTTGAATACATTCAGTATAGTTGATTTTTCCTAGTTCCTATTAAATACGTTCTGAAAATATAAATAAAAATTAACAATTCCTATAACTTTTTGGATTTAAAGAAGTAATTTTTTTTTCATTTGTTCTTAAATGTTGTTTATAATTAAACAATAGTATTATAAGAAGATATTTATGGGAAAAAAACACGTTTAAAACAAAACAAAAATCTGTTACTTTTTTTTTGCAGCTCTAAATGTGGAGACGTCACGTGTCGTCTCAGACTCATATACAAACACAACAAATTTACGCTCGGTCAGAACTGATTTTATGCCTTTGTGGTTTTAATCATAATATTATAGCGAATCGATCAACTGTCGACATGACTGTTAGTTATCCCCCTCCCCTCCCCACGAGAAATTATATTCAAATACCATCCACTTTATTTTCATTACACAAATAATAACAAAAAAATGTCTTTATTATACATGGACATAGAAAAGTCAAAACAATTAAACTTACGTGGTTATGCTGACATTTCTGTTATGTATTATCAGAGTTGTATAAAAACAAATTTAATGAAGTGAATTATAATTCGTGACCTTTTGAGACGGTTAGGTATATATTAAGAGTTATGGGATAGTTATTTTCATGTTATACACTGCAGGTACTAACTATTGATCCATTTTTCAAAAATGCCGGTATCCCGCGTGAACAAAGTCTGCGCACCGGTTCCTATAATACTATAAAAACTAGTGTTGAGCACCAAATCCGGATTGAAATAAAGGTTATTACAATTCACTTGAAAGTACCAATTCGGATTATGGTTTTCGGTATAATCAATTAG